GCGGCTTAGGATGTACCCAATGCCATGAGCAAAGGTGTTCCAGCTGTCATAGCCTGGCACACACACACACACGACCACACGAGCACACGTGAGCATGCCCCTCTGCCCTTCTCACCTCTCACAGAAAGTGAACGCCCCAATGCCTGGACCATGCGAATATGTCACATGTCCAGCATACACCTGGCCAGCTGCCAAGTTGTCACTCGGAGGGCAAGCAGCCGACCTTCTCAGACGCATTGAAGGCGCCCAAGGTCTGCAAAAGCCGCGGAACGTTGACATAAGCATCCATGTCCGCCTGGCCAAATCAGCGAAGACATATTCTAACTCAACACACCTCGACACCCTGAATTTGAGGCCACGCCTTCATCCAAAACCTGCACCCAGCCGCATGATGAATCGCGATTGTGAGCCACATGTAAATGAAGCGCAGCCTTGGTCGCGGCCCCGCACGTCACATGGCAAATGGATGCAAATGGATGCAAATGGATGCAAATAGATGCAACTGGATGCAACTGGATGCAAATGGATGCAATTGGATGCGAATGGCAAGCTGTCCTGACTTAATTTGGGGCCCAGCGCATTGAACTTTGGATGTCGCATGTCAAGATCTCCTCGTAGAGACAAGGTCGCATCCTGGCTCGAACAAGGAGTCCTGATAACTTTTGTGCTGCGGGCGTAGCCCCGTATCAGATCGGCCTTCCAGCTTTCGAACAGCGGGCGCTGGCTATAGAGCAGCGCCAAAACCCGACCTGAGCCTCGCACTTTGCGCCGATAGTCCCGAGCCGCCCAGCGTGTCTGCGCATATTTTCACAGCCAAGTCTTGGAAGCACGCCGCGCCGCTCCGAGTTGGGAAGGAATGGCCTCGGCGGAGCTTGTGTGAGTGAGTCTTTTGCATCACTGAGCAAGGCTCGGGAGCACGCGAAGCTGGGGCCAGCGCCTGGCCCAGGTCCCCACAGCAGCTACAGCGCGGGCCACCTCCCGCGGCCCAGCCCGTCGAGGCCAAGGTCACGACACATGTCCAGCGCAACATGGCGATGCACGGCACAGGACCTGCTGCCGCGTTGCGTCGGTGGTTGGCATCAGGATGCACAAGTCCTTCGCCCAATGCGCACACAGTGGCTCCGCTCCGCCTTCCTCTTTCCGGAAAAAAAAGAGAGAAAGAAGGAAGAAGAAGGAAGTCTTGGTTGTGTTTGTTTTTCTTCTGCATTTTTGGACCGCGCGGTGTTGCAACGGTCCCAGGCCTTGCGCCGGAGGAGTGCAGCGGCACCTCAGGGTGTTCTCGGCCTGTCATGGCCTGCTCTGCTCGCGTCGCGCCGCGTTTCGTTTCGCATCTGGGCCTGGAACCTCCGGGCTTCGAGGGCCTTGCAGGCCATCACTCCGTGACGCTATTGACAGCACCGAGCCTCAGGAGCTCCTGCTTCAGCATTGTGACGCCTATGTTTTCAACGAGTTCGAATCAGGCGCAACGCTGAGCTGAGCCACCCATGTTGCCGCGCGACGCCAGCGCGGACTTCAGTGGGCACCTGACGAACACCAGCTGCCGCGGAAAGAGCCTCCTGTTGCTCGCCTTGCAATGGCCCTGGCCACCCGGTAGCTCCTGCGCACAAGTCTCCTGAACCGTGTCCCTTTGCGTGCCCCATTTGCTCGCTTGCGCAGAATTGCGCAGACTTCACACTACACTTCACGCGCGCCGCCTTGGCAAGCAAGTTCCTTAGCTTGATCGCACCAGTAATCATAATTGCAGACGTCAAACATCACGCACGCATGTCTCAGAACTTTTGTGCGCGGCTAGACTGCGAATGGCTCACACAGGCAACTATAGTTCACTCGCGCGCCCAACTTCGCCGGAGGGCTGGGTTTACAGACACGCGGGCGATTCACGGTAGTAAAACCGCCGGCTTCGACCTGTCAGCTTCTGACGTTAGGGAATCAGCGACGACGGGTGATGGAGAATTAGAGCTTGATTCCGGAGAAGGAGCCTGAGAACTGGCTACCGCGCCCAAGAGAAGCCGGCATGCAAACTTCCCAGTGCCACACACAGGGAGGCAGTCAAGAATAGCAACGCGGCACATCCCTGTCTTGTGATTGGAAGGGGAAAACTTAATTAAGCCCCATTGTGAGTCAATTGGAGGGCAAAGCCTGGTGCCAGTCCGCGGGCATTCAGCTCCAATTGCGCGAAGCCTGTAGCGCTTGAAAGGCTGGTAGATGGATTTGTGTTGGGGGTGACCGGGGTCTCTACAGCTGAGGCCATGAGCGACAGGGATGCTTCAGGGCATACATATATTCAATGGGTTCAGAGGGGAAACTTTTGGATAGATACTCAATCCGGACTACACTAGGGATGTTTTCATTGATCACAAACGCAAGATGGGGGATCGAATTTGATCAGAGCCGTCCTAGTCAGTAACCATAAACTATGCCAACTAGAGCTTGGAGGTCATTAGTTCGACTCCTTCAGTTCTGGGTGCCAGGGTTAAGTCAACCCACGTGGCCTGAAGTCAACCTACTGCATGGGCACAGCACTTCAGCGTGAAAAGACTGAAACTGAAAGGCCATGACCCCGTGGCACTCCGGTCCATGGTGGGGCAAGGGCTTCTGGCTCCATCCTAAGATGCGGGAAACTGTGACCAATCAACGTGGGAGAAGATCAGTGTCGGGCAAGCTCGGCACAAAGCACCCCACCTGGCCAAACAAAAATGCCCATGACCTTCCCTAAGTGGTCACTGCTATCCTACGGCTTGCTGCGCAGCACTTCAAAAGTGTTGGAATTGTCCGAACACGATCTGACCAAAGTAGTGGTGCATCCCTATATTGGAACCGCATACATACATTTAAAAAACACACATACATTACGTTACATTAAACTACACTACACTACACTAGACCACATCATATATACTACACATGCTACATACATTACGAATATACACACACATACATACATCACATCACGTCACATCACATCACAGTACACTACATACATACATTACAATACAATACAATTACATACATTACATACAAACATACATACATACATACATACTCACATTTTGTGGATGCATGCATTACACTACATTGCATTACATCGCATCTCATCACATTACATTAACACCTACATACATAACATAACATACATAACGTACAACACAAAAATACACACGTACATACGTATGTACGTACATACATACATACATGTCTACATGTACATGCATGCAGTACATTGCAATACATTGCAGTACAAACAAACACTTTACATACCATTATGATACATTTCATGCAGTACGTTACAAACATACGTTAGTTACATACATGTGTTACATACATGGATACATACATACATACATACATACATACATACATACATACATACATACATACATTACATACATACATACATACATACATACATACATAAATACACATACATTACATACACATACATACATACATACATACATACATACATACATACATACATACATACATACATACATACATACATACATACATACATACATACATACATACATACATACATACATACATACATACATACATACATACATAGATACATACATACATACATACATACATACGTACGTACGTACGTAACATAACATAACATAACATAACATAACATAACATAACATAACATAACATACATGCATACATAAATACATACCTTCCTACATACATTACATTACATAACATAACATTACATTACATTACGTAACATTACCTACCACTTATATTACATACATACTCATATACATACATACATACAGACATACATTACGTACGTACATACACATACATTACATACATACATACATACATACATACATACATACATACATACATACATTACATACATACATACATACATACATACATACATACATACATACATACATACATACATACATACATACATACATACATACATACATACATACATACACATACATACATACATACATACATACATTACATACATACATACATACATACATACATACATACATACATACATACATACATACATACATACATACATACATACATACATACATACATACATACATACATACATACATACATACATACATACATACATACATACATACATACATACATACATACATACATACATACATACATACATACATACATACATACATACATACATTACATACATTACATACATACATTACATTACATACATACATACATACATACATACATACATACATACATACATACATACATACATACATACATACATACATACATACATACATACATACATACATACATACATACATACATACATACATACATACATACATACATACATACATACATACATACATACATACATACATACATACATACATACATACATACATACATACATACATACATACATACATACATACATACATAACATAACATACATACATACATACATACATAACATAACATAACATACATACATACATATACATACATACATACATAACATAACATACATACATAACATACATACATACATACATACATACATACATACATACATTACATACATACATGCATACATTACATACATACATACATACATACATACATACATACATACATACATACATACATACATACATACATACATACATACATACATACATACATACATACATACATACATACATACATACATTACATACATACATACATACATACATACATACATACATACATACATACATACATACATACATACATACATACATACATACATACATACATACATACATACATACATACATACATTACATTACATACATACATACATACATACATACATACATACATACATACATACATACATACATACATACATACATACATACATACATACATTACATACATACATACATACATACATACATACATACATACATACATACATACATACATACATACATACATACATACATACATACATGCATACATACATACATACATACATACATACATTACATACATTACATTACATTACATTACAGTACATTACATTACATTACATACATTACATACATACATACATACATAGATTACATACATACATACATACATACATACATACATACATACATACATACATACATACATACATACATTACATACATACATAGATACATACATACATACATACATTCATTACATACATGCATATACATTACATACATACATGCGTACATGCATACATACATACATAAATACATACATCTTATGCATGCATGCATGCATGCATGCATGCATGCATGCATGCATCTTACATCATGCATGCATACATGAGAACATAGAGAAAACCATGCATTACACTGCAATACAATACATTCCACTACAGTATTTCTACTACATTACATACATACATACACTACATTTGTATATACATTACAATACAATGCATCACATTGCATCACATTGCATTACATTGCATTACATTGCATTACATTGCAGTACATTGCATTACATTGCATTACATTGCATTACATTGCATTACATTGCATTACATTGCATTACATTGCATTATCATCACATGTATACGTACTTACATACATGCATACCTACATACCTACATACCTACGTAACTGCATGCCTACATACCTACATACCTACATACATGCATAAGTTGCATGCGTACATTACACTATATTACGTTACATCGCTTCACATAACATTACATGATGACATACATACATTACACTACAGTACACTACATTACATTACATTGTATATACATAAATGACTTTACATTTCTCTACATTACATTATATTACATTAATTCATACGCACACATACATTATATTGCATTACAATACGTTACATTGCATTACATCACGTTACATACACGTGAATTACACATATGATACACAGACATAACGGTAATGCAGCGTAGCATAACATAGCATAACGCAACATACATACACGCGTACATACATTACATGAACACTGCGTTGCATTACATTACATTACTTGGTGGTTTTGTTGGTAAATTACACATATATAAATATAGACGTATATGACTTGTATATAACATTGAATCCAAGGCAGCATTGCATAAGGCATCGTACCATCTGTCAAGGAAATCAACAAAATCGAAACGAGCTTGAAAGCGAACTCTCCCAGCCAAAGGCTCGCTGCCACGCTCGCCACGCGCACGCATTTGCTGCCTCCGCCCGTACAGCTTCACGGCCGGCATCCTGTCTGACAGCTACACCGGAACTTCCAACAAACCCAACACGTGCCTCACTCCCCCTTTTCACATCACCCCGAGAAGGAAATTTGTCGGCGTCCTTGTCCAGGGGGCTGACCAGCCGCACCCGGCGATGGATTTCCGGCAGCGCCGGCAAGCTGGCGGAGACCAGCAGCACGCAATGCCCTGCCGGGTGCAGCCGGCGCAGGCGCATCAGGGGCCGCTGCGGAGACTCCCTGCGGAGACTGGCGTGCTCGGAATCTCGTTGCTGTTGGAAATCCAGGGACTGGGAGGAACTTGGAAGATCAAAAAAAACCATTTGCACGAAATTGGCACGAGATGCAAAAAAGGATGGCCGCCTGGGGATGGAATGCATTAGCACCTCCTGCTCGGGGTCGCCCAGGCGCTGCGACCTCCAAAGATGCAACTGAATCGACCGCGTCGCTTGCGCGTGTGCCCCTCCGCCCCTCCTGAGGCGCTCCTGGCGCCAAAGGCACAAAGACACGTAGAAGCCTCGAGGCTCAAGGCTCTCAAGGCGAGGAAGGTAAGGAAGCTCCCGCCTGAAGGCCACTCCCAACCGAAGCCTGCGCAGGCTCACCACAAAGCGAATCAAGCCACCAGGCCAACGCTCGTAGCTGTCCGTTCCTTGTGCGTCGGAGCTGTTGGACAGCTCGTCTGCACATCTCTCCACCCAGCCAGGCCGCAGCTGCAGCAGCTGCTTCCGACCTGAAGGAATGTCTCATAACCGGGTCGTGCTCAGCAGCAGTGCCGACTTTTTGGGAGCTTTGAGAGAAAGCAACATGCAGCCATTTGGAAGCATTTGAAAGCATCCGACTCGGCTTGGCCAAAGATCTTGGCTTAGGTGCCGACTGAAGATGTATCCCCCAACCTCATCCGCGAGCGCCACCTCGGAGCGGCGCTGCAAACCTCTCTCTCCAGCTCGAAAACTTGGCTCCCACATGGGACGCCCCGATCATGGCGCTCAGGGCGTAGTACCTCCCAAGCGGCGCGTCGCAAAGTCTCTGAATGTCTGGCAGGGGCACTCGGGCTGCAAACCTGGAGCACAGTTTTGCCACACTCGGAGTGCGAAACGAGACCTCACGACTTGCCTTGCAAGCACTGCAGCCTCTCTGCAATGCGCTTCACATTCACATAGCTCCTGCAGCTTGACTTTGAGCCATTGCAACATGTGTCTGGGAACTCCTGCCATCCACGTGCATGAGCCAGTGGCAGCTGTCAAGGACATCTGAGCTCCTGCCAATGAAGCTCAAAAACCAAGGACCATGCGGCCTCCTCAGCCTCGTTGTATTGAATGACAGCCTGCACGCGCCGTCCCGTGTCTGCGCAAGTTCCTTCTCTCTGCATCTCTCCCGCCATTTCATCTCTTTGACTTGTCTGGAACTCAAAAAAAACAACGTTGCCCCGGAACGCGCGAGCTTCGCCTGCGCGTCAGCGTCGACCAGAGACTCAGCGCCTGGAAGTGCGGCTGGTCTGTGCCAACTCCTGGCGAACGCATCTCTGACGCGATGCGTGGCTCGATCTGAAGCGAGGGTTAGCTTTGAGTGCAGTCAACCGCTGCACTTGGAAGATAACCTGACACTCACATTCATGGCGGTCCGCTAATGGCTAAGTTCCTTGGCGTGGTGATTGTTTCATATTGCTTGCATGAACAGAGATGCCTCCCTTTCTCAGAGCAGCCAGTGACGTGCCCAGCCGAACTCGCCGTGAGTGCACGCTTCAGTGCTTCGAGGCTCGCAGCTCAACAGGGATTGCATGCTTGGTTCATGCAAAGTGCTGGAATATTCTCCATGGCTGCTGAAACATCATTGTGGGAAACAAGGAGATGAGCCGCTTTGGTCGGGGTGCTAAGTGGTTCTTCGTGCCTAAACCTTTCGCACGGCGCGTCCTGGCACCGCATCGAGCTGCAGCCGCGGCAGCCGCGTGCCTCAGCCGTCGGCGAGCGGAGATTGGGGAGGACGGTCTCGGCTCCGCCCGAGAGCCCCACAGTTGCACCTTGCAAGGCTCACGCGCTTAGCATTGATTCCGCCTTTCCGTGAGTTGGCACATTGGACCGTTTTGAGGCGATCTTGGCAACTCGGTTTGCGTGTCGCACTCGCGCTTCACGTCAAACCATCGCACTCGCGCCGAGGGGCTCGGCAATTTGGATCTCGGCGCTGGCCACCAGCGTGTTGGAGCCCCAGGTGGCCTGGATGGCGCTCTCCCAGGCCGGGGACACGCCGTTGATGAAGACGCACAGATCTGCCGCGCTCGGCACGATTCGGCTCGGCTCGATTCGGCACCTCTGGCCGCCAGCCCTCACAACCGTCTAAAATCCAATCCAAAACCACGCCCAAAAAGGGTGCTTCGACACTGGCACTGTCGAGAAACGCGTCAAAAACTCGCCACGCCTGTCCAGCTGTGCGTTTTAAAAGTATGCTTCAAAGGGTTGCGCATAGTCAGACATAATTAAATGAAACGACGGAACGCATACAGCACGACATGAAGCAAAGAAACACACATACACACACATTCAAAATGCAGGACCTCGCCTTGCATCTTGATGGCGCCACATATTTGAATACATCATCCGAAGTGGATGTTTGATTTGTCTATTCAGTGTGGCATGCGGGTCCCATCTTCACATGCTCCTACCCATGATACCCATGGTATCTGTCTCTGAAACGAGCTGTTGGCAAAGTCATTGAGCCTTGAACTCATTTTGACGCCAGTGTCACAACTATCCGCTGGCATTTGCTCTGGGGGTTGACAATGATGGGCATCCCAGTCTTCCCTGTGAATTGTCCAACCGTACAAACAGCTGACAACTCCGGAATGGTCTGGGGGGTCCGAGCTTAAGCTGCATCCGAAGTCAAAAGCTGCGAAGCACACAAGGCATTACTGCAACATGCAAACATGTAGCGAAGCCTTTTGCCTTCAGAGCCAAAACACGACAAGGGCAGCCTGATGCGTCCTGTTTCGGGCAGCCTCACTCCCCAGCCATCAGCGATACATGCGCGGAAATCACTTTCCAGCCATCAGGCGTTCCTTGGTGAGCGAATCTTCACGAAAAAAGCAACGGCTCTGGATCCTGTAGGCCGAGAAGCTCATCCATGTCTGGCTCTGTCGACCGATGCGTGTCCCTTCACGCTGGAACATGACGTGGGCCACCTCGGCAAGCTTCAGTCACTGCGAGTCGCTGGTGCAAACTGGTCATCTCTTCATTTGATCTTTCTTGCAAAGTGTCTCCGAAATCCTTCCCATACGTTGTGACGGAGGAGTGCAAGATAGTCCGCTGGCCGGGTGGTGCGCGATCACTGCGGAATTTCTGGATGGCCTGCCAGGCATAGCAGCAAGATGCATAAAGCACAGGCCACATGTCATGATGTGCTCATGTTGGATGTCAAAGAGTCGCCAGACTCCCTCCCCACATTCGGAACTACCTGAATCTTGGCACGAAGCCCAAGAACAGTCTTCAAACAGCGAGGCAATAGGGACGACTCCGGTGGAAGTGCATGTCGAATAGCTCTTGTGTCCATTGCGATGAATTGTGAGGCTAACAGGTGACAAAAATCGTCTGCATCGGCAACATTGAAAGAGCACTGTACAAAGATACGACTCAGCGTCACCGCCAAATAACCAGGTCATGCCGGCCTCGTAACCATGGAGGTTTTCATTTGTGCCATAGCGAACTGTGTCTGGGCTGTTGTAGAACAGGCCGTCCAACTCCTGAGACAAAACACAAGTCATGAGAATGCGCGCTGTTGCTTTGTCCGCACGCGCCCATCAGCACTCCTCCACATTGTTGCTGCAAAGAGCGCGCTCGTAGCGATCAAACTCCCGCATCAACTCGCCATGCACCTGACGATTGCCTTTTCAAATATTTCACCTTTTGCACCTTTTGCACTTCCCACGGCACGCCTCTGGGTCGTTGACAGAGATCTGGCGGACCCAGCGCAGGGCGCGGAAGGGGCGGAGGCGGACGCGGAGCATGGCAAGATCGGAGTGGCTGGCTCCCGGCTGAGTCACAGTGAAAGCATGGTACGTAAGACATCGAACGACCTACCCAAAACCATGTCAATATAGTTCAAAAGCTTCATGGCTTGGACGGTCCGCTAGATTTTGATTGTTTCTCAGCTGTTCCATGTTTATCGATTTATATACTGTATATGTATATTATGCATATTGTGGAACATGTAAGCTTGGGCAAGGGTGCTGAACTGCTTAGACTCCAGTCATGCAGTGGCAGTCTGCGCAAGGCATCAAGGGAATCAGTATGTACAAGGGATTGGTACCCCGAGTTCAAGGATATCTATTGGGCGGTGTAGTTGCTTTTTTTGAAAGAATACGCCGGACTCCACAAGCATCCTTTCCACACCTGGACGGTCCCTCCCTGGTTGCCGTTGGCGCTCAACGCTAGGCGAACATGTCGTACATCCTGCAAGCATGTTTTGTTCTGGATACCAGTAGGTTCGTTTTCATCACGCGTTGTCGCAATGCAAATATATAGCATAGATAATATCCACATTTCGTGGTTGCAAACTGAATTATCGCAAACGTTCCAGAATCGATTTGGCTGGACCTATGCAAGCCCTAGCTGGTCTTCCGATGCATGGCAGTGCACGCCAACAGTTCGAAGTCACTTGACGTCGAAGGCACTACTCACGTGTAGCCGGAACTCATCGTCATCCTGGCATTCGATTGTTGCAGGGCGGATCCTTCTGCAGGGCGGGATCCTTCTGATATCTCGAGCCTTTCCTGAAACAAGACTCCCCAATTTCCAGAAACACAAATGTGGTGGTTGTTCTAAATTCCTTTGTCTCGAAACGGCCATTCTTCGCGGATAAACAAGTTACTTTCGCGAATCTTTCGCGGGTTCATCGCCGTGCACTTTTCATTGCTCAAGTCGGGAAGTCGCAGCTTTTAAGTACCGGCTTTGTACGCGAAATAAAGTCGCAACTATTCATCACAAGGGTAGCACATGACATGCACTGGCTCCAGCTGGAAAGTCGCAACTTTTCAGCACCAGTAAACGAAATGCACTTCCGCAGTTCCAGCAGGAAAGCCGCGCAGCCCCAGCTTGAAGTTGCAACTTTTCAGTACCAGCTAGTACTCTGACCAGCCCGGCGCTCAGAAAGTACCTTCCCTTGCAATCGAAGCCTGCGCTCTCGCGCGGGCTTTCGCGGATCTTTCGCGGATCTTTCGCGGAACTTTCGCGAAACTTTCGCGAAACTTTCGCGAAACATCACTCACGTTTCTAAAGCCACCGACTAACACCCACGCACCTGGAGCACCAGCTCGCGAAGCAGGGTATCAAACTGTAGCGTCACCAGGCTTTACCAGGGGACAAACAACAAAACGTTTTAATCAGCTTAGAAGGAAGATTCAGCAGAAAAGATGAGTGTTTTCACATATTGCTGATTTACAAGATGCAGCTACGCAAAACTTTCGCGAACAAAAGAGTTTCTTTCGCAACTCCATCGCGAATCTTTCGCGGAGCTACCTCAACCCACACCGATGGTCACTACTGAACTCCTTACAAGGACCTTTAGAACGACTCCCATGTGTAGAAATGGAAGTAGACTATTCTCCTCATGCACAGCAGAGATCATCTGAAAGAACTCAGAGAACTTGTCGAAGTCGAATGGTTTACCTCCGCAGGAGTGCCAAGCATTCAACTGCAGGAGGCTTCTTGCATGCATGCCCCATGGGGTGCACTCTGCCGAATATTCTTGCCTTCGGAAAAGAAATCCACAGCTTCAAAAAACCTCAGCTCGTGTGGGCCGATGGAGACGCGCCGGATCCTAGAATATCAAAATGGGTGCCACGGTCTTGGAGCTCTTTTCAAGCGACAAGCAGGAGGGATGTTTGTTTGCCCCGTGCAAGAGCCAGGCGCACGCACGAAGCGCAAGGACAGGCTTTGCTTGTGAACAAGGAGCGTATAGACTACGCTTCAGGTTGAACCATGCTGTTTGTGTGACCTCTGCTGCCAAGCAAAGCGTGAAAGGTCTTACCAGCGGCTCACACGTCCCAAGCCCGCGGCTCCTGTTCCGCCTGCCGGGGATCCTTCCTGCGCTTCACACTGCTAGGATACTTCGTTGGGACATTCTCCGGCCCCACCAACATCTTCTCCACGCTTGCCCCAAAGTCTGATCGTGTCGGATGGCCACCACTCTAATGGGAAAGCAACATCTTCCCTCCAAGACGCAAACATATGGCAAATACAGCGTAGTGAGTGTATGAACAAACAGAAGGTTTACACCACAATCAGACACATTCCTTGCGCTCAAAATGGCCGCCTTGAACGAGCCCAGAGAAGGGAGATTTAGACTCCGAACTCACCTGGCCATTTGTCAAAATCCCCTACCCCCAGTGAACATCCCAATCCCAACTAAAGTAGACTAAAAAGGGTAGTGCACCTCCTCAAAATGGTACCATTGGTTTTGACCCACAGCCTAGACTTTGGGAATGGGACTCGATCGACACCTCGCTCCTGCGGAGGAGGCACTGCGGCGCGCTCCGGGCGTCGAAGCGCGACTTCAGCTGGTCCGGGGAGACAGCTCCGTCGCCCAGGGCCTGTCGCCCGGCACATCCAAAGAAACACTTGTTCCGTTCGCGCGAGCAACAGACCGCCCATTGGAGGAACAACCATGTCCGAGACATGGACAAATCTTTGGCAGAGGGCCGAGATGTATTAGGTATCATTACAAATCATATGGAACAAATCATCCTCGGCTTGATCGCAACGGGGAGCCCTCCAAATGGCAGGTTTCATGTTAGCTCCTGGCCTGGAACAAGTGCGCTACCGCGTTTGCCCGCTCCTGTCAGAGGCGAGCGAAAGCCGTGAGCAACCAGCAAACTTGCCAAAGATGCGACGTGTTCCTTCGGGTCCCCCTAAAACAGTGGAACAGCAGGAAGACTGCTAGTGTGTCGCAGTGCAAGCGTTTCGGACCTCTGGCAACTCGCCCCGCAGAAGCTCCAGGAGCTGATTGTAGTCCTTCGCACTCTTTGGACATCCCGTTGGACTTCTTTCGAGCGTTCCAGACCTTTCCACGCGTTTGACGCTGAGCCCCCGGGCCATGGAGATGCCCTTCTTCCGCTGCGAGAAGTCCTCGCGGCCCGCCTCCCTCCCTCTCGAATCTCTCCCTCGACTCCCCCCGCCTGGAAGAGCAAGTTCTGCTCCTCCGGCGACACGCCCAGGCCCATGGTCTTGTTGAGGCCTCGAGTGCCACATGCGGCACGTGCTTCACCAATTGCGAGCCCCGCACGTTGCCAATCCAAGCGCATGATGGTGCCGTTCCTCAGGCCCATTCATGCCATCCGACACCACTTCACACTGAGTGCTCCGAGTGAAGCCATGCAAAGCCATGCAAAGCGATGTCAAAGCGATGTCAAAGCGATGTCAAAGCGTCTTTTTGTAGTCGTAGAAGTGGAAGTGTTTCACGATGGCGTTCCAACCTGACTGCCCCCGTCGTCCCACAGCATCGCTTTGCACAGCGCCCTCGCCTTTCAGTCCTCGCAGCGCAATGCTCTTCCGAAGCCTGCGCCAATGTATTCCCAAGAAAATCACAAAGACCCCAACTCGCCAGGCCTGGCAATGACCTCACTCACTGGCGAGTGGGCCTTGTCGTTGAACACCTGCGTGCCAGTCCCTGACTAAGTCGTCCCTGATTCTGCCGGCCCCCTGCTGGTGAAAACCGATGCATTTGCAATGTCCCTGGGCGCTTGGCGACACTGGCCAGCTCGCCCCTCGTGATTGCTGAAGGCCTGCACAGCATGCAAAACTGTGCCATAAACACCAAGATAAGGCGAGTTTCAGATAGACAATTGCAAAAATGCTAACAAACTGTTAAGAGAGCTTTCAACATGCACTCAACCACTCCAAGAGACGCCCCCAAACTTCGAAGACAAACCTCAATGCAAGCCTCTGCAACCAAAGCCTTACAAACTGTGCCGTCCCCTTGCCACTCAAGAACAAAATGCTGATCCAGTTCCCCCCCTTGCACTCTGAGATGGCCTCAAGTCCGGAGTTTCAAGAGTCTGTTTTTTTTTCCTGCCGCAGCCTGCCGCCTGTCTGCCTTGGGCCCCGGCTGATCCTGGCCGCGGCCGAAGCGCCGGTAATGCTCCGGGGCTCCCTTGGGGCTGTCGGCCGCTGCGTAGGCCGAGGTGGTCACTGCCCCGTGGGAGTGCGGCGGCGGCCTCCCAAGAAACCAAAAAAACCAAGCGAGACGGCGACGGTCCCGAACTCACTGGCATGGCTGTGGGTCAAAACCCTGTACCCCTGGTGAACATCAAACTAGGTGGTACATGGGTGTTCATGACCCATGGCCACATGAGCCCCTCAGTCCATTTATTGCGCGCCCGTGTGCCCTTTTTTGACATGGGGTCTTGAGGAACACCAGCTTCCATGTACCCGCGTGCCCTTTTTGGCATGGGGTTTTCAGAGCTTCATGGGAATTTGGTGAGCGCATCTGATGTTCTCCCCTTTAATACCGTAGGTACAAACACATATTGCACATATTGACCCTTGCCTGCATGGCCGCATTTTCTGGTGGTCATTTGTTGAGTGTCCAGTGTCATGTTCCTCGTTGGACAACGGAACCGGAGCCGTTTGCTTTCTCAGGGCTCCGCTTTCGCATTGAAAAGGTTTGTGGCAGGCGCGCAAGCCTAAGCCTTGAAGCCCTCGCCTGGCATCGCGCCAGGGCGACGTGCAGGTCTCCCGTGGCGCGTGCAGGGCACGGCGCGGGGACTCCCCGCCGTCCTCGAGTAACGCACCAAATCCGACAGAAACCACCCCCCTCCCCACACCCACCCCCGCAGCAGTGCCAAGAGCCAACCATGTGGTCATTTTTTTTGATATACTCTTACCATCGCAGTCGCAAATGCACACTCAAGCATGGATGACCACCCAAAAGCACCCCGGCCATCAAAAGCAAGGCCTCCAAATGAATCTACCTTGTTCCTAGCTTGCCTTCTCATGCAAGAAGGACCAGCTAGAAGCCTTGTGCCCACATTCCCCGCGGAGATGCTCGCGCCTTTGGCACGTCCCACACACGCTGCACGATGAGATCCTTGGTTCGGGCGATGCAGAAGAAGGAAAGCTCGCGATCCAATTATCTGAGGCGGCGGCGAAAAGCGAGTCGTTTTCAACCTGGGTCCGCAGATATGGAATGATAACAAAGGATGTCTGAACACCGATTTTGTGATTCAATGCTCTAATCAAAATGCGATGTTCAACTCCTCATTCACATTGAAACTGGATGTTTGTGCCTGTACCGTGGTGAAGGGCCTCTTGTTTATCCTTGCTTGGCAATTAGTCAAGCTGCGCACCCTTCAGCACTTTCAAATGCCCAAAGGACTATTTCGTGCTACATATTTTCTCGTTGCTTCCACTTCCTGCCGCGGCTTGCGGCAACGTGTCTTCACAGTTTCGCGAAACTGCCTTGGGTCTTATGAGCCATCCGCAGGCCTATTGGGGATCGTGCGAACAGGTCCGTTTCGGGCAGTTGCGGGCAGTTTTGGTTCGGTTCGCGCACACCTTTCAGCACATCCGGTTAATCCGGCTGTTTTGTGTTTGCCTGAAACTGCCTGAAATCCAAACCCGTCACGGAGTCCCCGTGAGTCACGGACACGTTCTGCACACCAAGCTCCTCCTCACTACATAATTAGAAAAACCTGCGTGCAAAGAAAGCACCGCACATCTGGGTCTCTGCCGTCCATCTGTGTCTCTGTGGGTATGGGTATGATTGTATCTGCCTCGTTGTTGCTGCTATCTGCCTCCGTCACTCACTCACTCACTCACTCACACACTCACTCACTCACTCACTCACTCACTCCCTCCCTCCCTCACTCACTCACTCACTCACTCACTCACTCACTCACTCGCGCTCTCTCTCTCTCGCTCTCTCTCTCTCTCGCTCTCTCTCTCTCTCTCTCTCTGTCTCTGTTTCGCAGTCCCTGCCTGTGTGTCTGTGTCTGTATCTGTCTCTGTCTGTCTCTGCCTCTGTGCCATTCTCTCGCCCGCTTTCTGTTTGTCTCTCTGTCTGTCTGTCTGTCTATCCGTCTGTCTGTCCGTCCGTCCCTCCGTCCGTCCGTTCGTCCGTCTATATCAATCTGTCTCGGTCTCTGCCTCTCTGTCTGTCTGTCTGTCTGACTGCCTGCGTGCTTGTCTGTCTGCCTGTTTGTGTCAGCTGTCACGGTTTTTGTCCCTGCCGGTGCCTGTTTTTGTGTGGTTCGGCGCACGATACCCCATTGATTTGGTCAGAAGTTTGCGCAGACTCTCCGCTTGCGGCTGCCTTACCTTTTGACTACGAAGCCAAAAAACCAAGAGACCGTAATATGAGTGTATCAACAGAACTGAGGGAACGGGCAGTCGAAGACACTACCTCACACGCGCAACTGCAAGATCAAACCGCAGGCCAAGCCCTCTCTGCCTCATAATACGCCAGGAAGTCCGAGAAGGACACCATGCCTCACGCGGCCAGTCATTTCACTCAAACGGCATGCCTTTCTTTGTCTCTGGCCGTTCTCGCAACCGCCCAGGACGTGGGCCAGCTGACTGAAGGTGTCCAAAAACCTCGTGCAGCCCAAGCTTTCGCAAGCGAGCGGGCTGAATGGGTATAAGAAACTATTTCTTGGCGCAGTACACGCGCAGAAAACCAACCAAATTGCCCAGTCTCTTGGGCTGAAAGGGTATTGCGGTAGAAGTTACGGAAAAATCTACGGTATATATATATATATGGCTGCGGGAAAAAATGAGTTCCCAAAATTCAATCCTGGTAAATGGACATATGAAATAAAATATGCGGTCCCCTGGTTGTTTGATTTTGACCCACAGCCATATGCCGCATCCGAAAAATCACCGGAAACGGTTTGCTCTGGAGGCCCCGGGCTCCGCCAGGACGAAGCTAAAAAAAGCAGGATCTCATCTATCATTTGCCCCTCCCTTCATCGCTATTGGTGGGGCACAGCACTTGGTTTTCATTGCACACGCGAGCAAAACACAAAACTAATTATCTTCAATGCTTATTGATTGAAGCAATGGAAAACCTGTTCCATTATGTTATTCACCGCCACTCATAACATAATGATGTTCCATTTAATATTAATGACAAGTTAATTTTAAATATAATTGTCTATATTTCTTTAATATCAACTATGACAGATGTCCCAATAATAAAACCAATAAACATAACTGAACATGAATTCAATCAATCCAAATATGAGCACGTGCTAAAATTACCATTTAGAAGTATTATAGTTGCTTCATCGACGGGAGGCAAAACAGTTTTAGTCCAAAACCTTATCTTGAATGTTTATAGAAATTCATTTGCAAGAATATTTATATTTTCCCCCAGCGTTCATAATGACCCAACTTTTACAGAAGTTAAAAAATACATCAGGGATGAATTGCACGTGGATGATGAAAAAGAACATTTTTTTTTGATAATTATAATCCAAGTGATTTAGAAAATGTAATTGAAAGACAGAAAATAATTAATTATATGAAGTCTAAAAAGATACAGAAACTACATTCAATATTAATCGTTATAGATGACCACGCATTCAATATTCATCGTTGTAGATGACCACGCAGACGATCCTAAATTTGTTAGATATAGTAAATTATTACACTGACTTTTTTACAAGAGGCAGGCACGATGCAGTAAGTGTAATTTGTTCAACACAAAAATATAATGTTTTAGTGCCTATCATTCGTTTAAATGCCAGTTCATTAGGTTGAAAAATGCAAGTGAGTTAATGAGTTTTATTGAAGAAAATAGCGCCATTGTTGATAAACAGCAATTATTAGATATGTATCATCAAGCCGTTAATGACGCACCTTATAGTTTCTTCTACGTGAATATGAATGCTAAAGACATTAACAAAATGTTTCATATCAGATTTGAACAGGCATTTCAAATTACGAATGATGAATAAAGATATTCTAATTTAATATAATATAGTAATATGCAAATGAAACTATGTAGATGTGGTGGATTTTATCGTAGAGGTAATTGTAATTTTCATACTAATTCTTGGATACATAAACTTTATAAAGTATTGAAAAGAAGGGCACCAGACGAGGAATTATTAAGATTTCAAAATAATGTTGTTGATGAAGAAGATTTAATAGATGATATAAGTAGTACTACTTCAACAACAATACCAGAGGATAAAATGACAGATTATGATAGCAATCAATAATATTATTATATGTTAATATTATTAATTTAAATTAACGAAGCATTGCAAAATTGTAAGGCAGGAAGTGTATATATTAATTTGTCAGATTTTTCTTTCTCTAGTTTCTCAATTCGTGTCACACATTCTTGAAGAGATTTAATAGTTAAAGTGTCTGCTCGTGTTTTTTCATCTATTCTTAAATTCTTAATGTCTTCCAAACTATTATTTTCATTATTTTTTACTTTTACCAATACCCATTATATATGATATTATTAAGATTTTAATTTTTCAAAATTATCTTTTTGTGGTTCTTCTTCTTCGTCTTCAGTTGGTGCTGGTATTTCTGTTGTTTTAGATGTCTGGCCCACGACAAAATCTTGAATTCTTGGTTTTCTCGAGGTTTTCTTGGTTTTCCTTGTTTTACTTGGGAATTCTTGGTTTTTTGCTGGAAATATATATATATATATACAAACACAACCTAGTAAATCTTGGTTTTTTGCTGGAAATCCAAAAAACCCTAGTAATTCTTGTTTTTTTTGCTGGAAATCCCAGAATTCCCAAGTAACATCAAGAAAACCAAGAAAACCTCGAGAAAACCAAGAATCCAAGAATCCAAGATTTTCATGTAGATGTCTGGCCCACGACAAAATCTTGGATTCTTGGTTTTCTCGAGGTTTTTTTGGTTTTCCTTGTTTTACTTGGGAATTCTTGGTTTTTTGCTGGAAATCCAAAAAACCCTAGTAAATCTTGGTTTTTTGCTGGACATCCAAAAAAACCCTAGTAAATCTTGGTTTTTTGCTGGAAATCCAAAAAACCCCTAGTAATTCTTGGTTTTTTGCTGGAAATCCAAGAATTCCCAAGTAAAACCAGGAAAACCAAGAAAACCTCGAGAAAGCCAAGAATCCAAGATTTTGTAGTGGACCAAACATCTACCTGAAAATCTTGGATTCTTGGATTCTTGGTTTTCTCGAGGTTTTCTTGGTTTTTTGCTGGAAATCCAAAAACCCTAGTAATTCTTGGTTTTTTGCTGGAATTCCAAAAAAACTCAGTAATTCTTGGTTTTTTGCTGGAAATCCAAGAATTCCCAAGTAAAACCAAGAAAACCAAGAAAACCAAGAAAACCTCGAGAAAACCAAGAATCCAAGATTTTGTAGTGGACCAAACATCTACCTGAAAATCTTGGATTCTTGGTTTTCTCGAGGTTTTCTTGGTTTTATGTGAAAAATGCTAAAAACCCAAGGAATTCTGAAGGTTTTACTGCAAAACCATCAAAAACCCAGGGAATTCTTAGTTTTTGACTTAGGGATCTATCTGAAAAACATATCAGTGTTTACACTTGTTTTTTTGAATGCTTTCCTGTTTTTTCTAAAAAAAAACATGGGTTTTTGCACATGTTTTTGCTAAAACCATCAAACCACACTGGTTTTCTTAATTTTTCAATGGTTGACTGTGTTGTTGTTTAATCGAAAACCATAAAAAAACAGGTGTTTTTTCACTTTTTTATTGTCTGCTAATGGTCCCCAACGACTTTTTGAAAGACAACGGTAGGTCATGCAGGGGGGGGTGACCATATATATGGCTGCGGGAAAAAATGAGTTCCCAAAATTCAATCCTGGTAAATGGAAATATGAAATAAAATATGCGGTCCCCTGGTTGTTTGATTTTGACCCACAGCCATATGCCGCATCCGAAAAATCGCCGGAAACGGTTTGCTCTGGAGGCCCCGGGCTCCGCCAGGACGAAGCCCGGCTGCAGCTGGCCGCGGGCCACCAGCGGATGGGCCTTCGCCACGAAGCGCTCCTTCAACACTCCCGGGCTCACCTGGGCGTGAATAGGCAATTACCCATAGAACCCTTCAATGGAAACATGGACTAAAATTCCTGCGGTTCCCTGGTGGTTGAATTTTGACCCACACCCACCTCATGTTGAGCTCACGTCCCTCACGCATCTCACGCGATCCGCGCCAATGGAATTTCAACACAAGCCGAAATCTTTGGTCTTTGAGGCGGTTTGAAACCAAGCCGGACATCAACGATCTGGAGACCCCTGTTGCTTCTTGAGAATTGCCGCTGACCTCCCTAGCTTGTGCAATTGCCGCACGCCCACTGAGTCGCGCGGCCGCAGAGTTGTCCTGGGGGTTGCCTCAGAAAACCGAAAACATACCGAAGTGGCCATGGGTCACAAGCCCCCGCCAGTGAAAATCCCAATCCCCACTAAAATAGACGAAAATGGGTGAACCCAAAATGGGATCCCAAAACGGTTTTGACAACCACAGCGATCCAAACCGCCGGAGCCTCAATCGACGCCCGGCCTCCTACGGCGGCGAAGGCGCGCTCCACCAACGCCCGCCGCTCCGCCGAGAGCTCCTGCGGACATTTGGTCATTGCGCCGCGCTGGACACAAACGAATCAACCTGTGCACAATTGTACACATGTGTGCGCACCAAAATGTGGCGTTGTATGGCATTGCAACTCATTACACGGAAGGGATCGAATTTCGCCAGATCACATTGGCTGATCTTCTGCCATGCCAAGTCTTCCATTTCTTCGTGCAGCTCGCGGATCGCAGTCCCCGTGCAAGAGCTTCAGAAAGGTAGGCAGGTGGACCTTGCCCTTGGTCTCAGCACATGCCTCGAAGATCGACACCTGGCCAATCGACTTGTGGCGATATCCTGCGACTGTGGGAATCCGAGGTTACAGAATGCGCCCATGAGTCAGTCCTTCGACATTTTGTCCCTTGCTGTGCAGGAGGCAACTCGGACACTCCGAGTTCGAGACCAAAAACAAGCCTCCTGTGCCCTTGTGAGGGTTACAACTACTCGTTGTGTGATCATCTCATATGCTTTCTCTCTTATCTCATCTCGTCTTTCTTTTCCAAACAAATGGCTGTGGGTCAAAACCCTGTACCCCTGGTGAACATCCAAATAGGTGGCAAATGGATGTTCATCCACCCCAAAATGGAGCCATGGGTTCTGCATGGCCAGATGCCCTTCTTTTTCTCTCCCGCCGTCCCTCAGAATCTCTCTCAGAATCGCCTCCTCGGGCTCTCGGAAGGAGAGCTGCGCCTTGCGGCAGGCCTGGCGGAACTCGTACCTGGCAACCCGTGCGCACGCAGACCCGCAGGCAGCTACGCAAAAACATACTCAAGAATATGCTAGATGCTACACTCTCACGTGCGATATGGCATCCTTCGGGGTCTACAATCTCTCCGACTTGTACCCGAAGCCTTTGGGAAACAAAAAAAGACCGGGTAAATCGCACGGGAAAAAAGCACGCAGCAAAACGCACGGTCACTTTCGACCAAGGGCGCTGGTCAAGCTGGTCGTCCACATCGTCGTCGGCAGTGTAGAAGTGCCTGGGGTGCCGTCATGGCCGTCAGGGAGGTGGCTTCGGCTTGAGGTGAAGCGAACACGAGTGCATCTTGATTCACTCGGCAAAGCCTCCCCTCCGGTCCCAAGCTGAGGCTCCGGCTGCACAACGTCCACCGCGGCCCGCAGACTGCGCCTGACAGGTAGCTGGCACCAGAAGCAGTAACTTGGCTTAGGAAAGATACCAAAATATACCCAAAGATACAACAACTACAGCAACTGCCTGGCGATTTGCGCACGGGCGCGCTTCATCACCTCAGATTGCTCCCTCCAAACCTCCCGCTCCGACTCCTTCACTCATCCAAGAAGTCGGCGTCTTCGATCTTCGAAATCTCATCGATCTTGTGGTGCGTCATGGTGGTCGGCAAGGTGTTGGTCTCGAAAACCAAAACGTAATCTCTTTGTCTTCTGTTCACTTCATTTCATTTCATTTCATATCATTTCATGTCATTTCATGTCATTTGTTTGTTTTCATTTCATGTCGTTTCGGTTCTTCGTTGTGCAAGATGGCACCATCGCCCCGCCTGCCAGTGGTGGAGACCCGTGCGCACCTTCAGCGGGGCGCCGGCCGCCGGGCGAGCCAGCGCGGTGCGCTGCTCCACTGAGGCGTCCTTCGCCTGCATCGAACCGAAAGAAAGAACACATGGGCATAGCATGGCATAGCTCAAAATTCAACCACTAGGGGACCGCTGGTTTAGTCCGTATTTCCATTTCCAGGGTTCCATGTTGGGCACACATTTTTGACCCACAGCCACATCTGCAACCAGTGCCCATCGTGCCATAGTCCACATGGCTGTGGCTCAAAAACATGTACCAAAATGGCACCTTGGTGAATGGAACCAAAGACTAAAACCTGCGTAACCCTAAGTCGTTGATTTTGAGCCATAGTCCACATCATTCTGCAACCAGTCTCCATGCTGCACAAAGCCAGGTGCGACCAAACTGCTTGGCTGGTGCATAGGGTCCCACGTAAAGACACTGCATCAACAAAACATTGGCGGCGCCTTGTTGAGATCCCAGACCTCTCAACAAGTTCGGCTGCACTGCCAAGCAAATGCGCAGAGTAACGCTTCAACAAAGCAATGGGCTGCAATCGGCGCCTTCTCCACGATGCTGCAGAACTCACCCTCCGAGAAGCAGCCGCAAATGGACCTTTGCTTCACCCATCTGAGTTGTGGTCAACGATGTTAATGATGCTTCGTTTGATAAGGTCATTTGGTACGTGGGTCTCATCCCATCCCCTTTGCTGTAGATAATGGTAAACACCACACATGGCACGCCCTCCATTTCGCTCTGTTGCTGAGCAACCAGCTTGAAGTAATCCTCGAACTCTTCCCAAGCCACCAAATGGGTTGGGTATGAACCTGGATCAAGCGGAAGAGCCACAGCGGGGCCCAAGGTGGCAAGTTCAATTCAATTCCGCGACTCCCCGACTCCTCGACTCCCCGACACTCACGAAACGCGGCATTTCAGTCCCCAGCGTTGGCCGCGTCTGTAAGCAATGTGATCCTGTGCTGTAGTCGCGTGCCAAATCGTATCGGCACGCTTGGCTAAGGCTATAGATGCTACATGTCGACGGATCTGAATCCGAGTCATCTCCTTCAGAGTCTCTGCAAACTCTTGCAGCACCTTGCCAGCGCAGATTCGTTTCCACTCATCAACTGTGTCGTGCTTTGCAAGCAGAAAACACCCGATCTAAAGGAGCAAGAATGCCTCATCAGCAGGCCGCGTGCCAGCTGCCACCTGCCAGCTGGAGAGCTCTGTCTCTCTGAGTGGGTGCATGTGGCTGATTGAGAACTTACCGCTCCTCCGGATGGCGGTTCGCATTGAAGCCGCGAATGATGGTGTTGATGTCCACCAGGCCCTGCCATCTCAGCTCAACCCTGAAGCTGAGCTAATTAAGCGACAAATGTGCCTCCGAAGACGTGTCTAGGTGGCGGAAGGCCGCGCGGATCAAAGCCTTCCAAGCCGCCCCGCAAGCTGCCCTCTCAGCCCTCTCCGTGAAGTGCATCCCGAGGCTCCAACTCGTTGCTGCGCCGTTGCTTCGTCCTTCAGTGCCAGAAGGAACCTTGGGGCCGATGCTCTGGACAGACCCAAACAGCCACTGGGTCACTGGGCCCCAAGCTCATCATAAGGAAGGTGGCCATTCGGCTGGCAAAACCTGAGGCTTGTGATTGGCACGAGGTCGCCGCATCGCGGCACAAATGCAGGCCAGGCACATGTCGAAAAGATCCCCCAGCTGCTGTTCTGAGCATACCTTGAGTCATGTCTGCGAGCTGCATGATGACATGAAGCATCACAGGCGCCGCATGTTTCCAGCGAGTGGAGGAGGCGCCTCTTCCGAAAAGAAGTCGGACATTACCTCAACTGGAGAACATGGCAAAACCAACGTTGCCTGTATTGCCCTGCTCAGCACCAGGCACTGTGGAAGGCTTCGAAAGGTATGAGGCGCGAGTTCTGAGGGTCTGCGTCCCTGAAAGCCTGAGGAAAAAAACATGTGCACGGCTTCAAGAAGCCGTGGAAGCAAGACGCGAACGCTCCAGGTTCGACGTGCTCCACGGAAGGGCCCCGGCCGCCGCGAGAGACGTGATCCCGCGGGGGCCCTGGTTGTAGATCGCGTCCTTGAGCTTCTCAATCAGCTCCTAAAGCGAGGGAGGGCAAAGGAAATCCAAGTACCCTCAGGAACCGAAACAGCAAATTGCAAACAAGTCCACCCTCCCAACTAACATGGGTTTGTGCACAACGGCCCTTTCCAATGTAGTCTTTCTAGAGGGGTCTGTCAAAAATCCATGTTAGTCGCTGGGAGGGTAAGTGGAACAAAAAGACCAAGAACTGCGACCTCGGTGGCTCTCGACGGCACTTCCGGGCTGGCAGCTGGCACTTCCTCCTGACAGGTACGGATATCCACGGATCCAAGACATGGCGTGGCGGCGAATTCTGCAAATTGGGTGGACTTGTTAACTCTCTATTTTTTTTGCGGTCGGCTCCCAGATCGGTCGCCTCCCGCACTGGCGCCCTGGCCCTTCCCCCGCCCAAACAGCCATGCCTCCCTGCGCACACCGCTGGTGAACTCCGCTGAGAACTGCCGGATGGGCAGCATGCCCTGAGCCAAATAGGCGAGATGCCTATGCGGATTGAATGGGGGTGGTGGTGTGCAGGTCAATCAGCATGGGGGTCTGTGTTCACCAGAGTGCAGAGTCCAATCATGGGTCGCCCAACACCTGAAGTGTTCATTGCTGTCTCGAAGGGCGCTGCCCCCTCTGCGTACCGCTCGAAGATCGCTGCGATGTCCTCGCCGATTTCACGAAACTCGCAGTGCCGGGCGGGCGGAATCTCTCTCTCCTTCTCGCCGATGCCCGCGGCGAACGGCACCAGGGCGCGGCTGAACTGGCACGGAGTCTTCTTTTGCACGCCCGAATGCCGGAATCAGCTGAACGATTTGATAGTTGTTTGTGGTGGGCCTTAATATGGCTGGAAGAGCCGCGGCGGCTCTGTGCACAGTTGCACGGTTGATGAGGGCCGAGCCGCAAATAAGACGCAATCAAGCAGAATAAAATGCACAGGCTAACCTGGCCCCTGCCTGCTGAAGGTTCAAATATCCTTCTTCCAAAGCGTAATGCCGAAGCTGCTTCGCCAGGAACGTCTCCTAGCGGGGTTTGTCCATTTCTTGTTGCGGTGAAATTACCCCCTCTCCTCAGTGGATCGGCTGTGTACCCTCTGCTGGACCTTGTCCAAGATTGCCTGCGTCTCGCCCCAAGTCGAGGCCTACCTGCCTGAAGTTCAATCAATCTTGTGTGCCTCCTCAATCTGGTTCAAGCCATCCTGGGAGACAATGCCCCATATGATCCCAAATGTGACATCATGAAAGCGAACGTACCATCGCCTTCATGCCAAAAGCCATTGCGATAGGCCGTGCCGGCCAACCCCCTTTTGCCGAAGCCCGGTCGGGCGTTGAAATCAAAATGCCACTTGTGTAACATCGCGGAGGATATGCAGCTTCTCAGTTGGTTGCTGCGTTGCTCATGCGCTTTGCCTTTCGGCCTTTGTCTTTCCGTTGACGTACCCATGGTGTCACTCGAGCTGGCAGCGGCGAACACAAGCATCATTACGAGGTCTGGGGAAGCTCTTCCCGGCTTCCCAGTAAAAAAGGCATATCACACAGCCCATTCATGGCCTGACTGAGGCATTGTCTTATTCACCCCTGCCAGGTGGTTCAAGGCACGGGGATTCTCCGTCACATTTGCCGCGGCGATTTTAATGTCGCTCGCCATGTGTCAAAGCTGGCTACCGCGCCAAGCCACACAGCAAAAAAGATCGGCCATAATCAAATTACCAAACACCAACAAACCAAGCAGCATGTGGCTTCAGTGGCGCCCTGTGTGGCCAACTAGCTGTGTGCCCCGTGTTTCGTTATCTGTGCACCTAGCGCAGGCCACGTGCGTTCATGCGTAGCTCGCCTGGGCTTAGAAAGCCCTCAGCAATGGGTCCGTTGAGCCCGTCTTGACATGAGGCATTGTCCGAATTACTTCTTACCCGAAAGTTACGCAACTTGTGGGACGTCTAGTGAACATGGCAAGCGGCTCCCAGCTCTGGGCATGTGCCTGAGGCTCTGACATCGCGCGAGCTCACCGCCAAAGCCTCAGAGTCGCACGACACGCCGCGCTCGCGGCCTTCCTGTTCCGTGCCATGCGGTTTACACAGCCCGTTTACACAGCCCGTTTACACAGCCCGCCATGCCCCATGTGTCAGGCTGAGGCTTCACCAGGCCATCCCTGCCCGCGGTCACCAGGATGTCCTTGCACGGATGGCCGAAGGCGGGCTCAGGCGGCACGCCACACCTGCTGGAGGGAGATGGTGCACCTCAGTTCTCAACTCATTGACTCGTGGCTCACGTTGGGCAGCTATGGGCCCTGGCATGTCTAGGATGGCATCCCGGTGGTTCGGACTCGGCGACGCTTGCCCATCCTGGCAGTCGACGTTGCTTCACAAAGACTCCCTCGCCGAAGGCTGAAGTTTGCTTCCCGTCCTGGGCCTCGCAGGGCCCTTCCTGGCAACACGGCGCTGCGGCACGCGATGTCGACGTCTTTGGCCGCATACGACCCGCGCATCTGCCGCTTTTCTCTCCCAGGCCGCGAGAGGCGGCCCCGCAGGCCCCGGCGCGGCTCGGACTCCAACGGCTCCAAAGACTCCAAGGACTCCTCTGAACGCGTTGAGTCCCAAGTGTCTTGCTGTCTCTCGGATGTCTCTCGGAGCACGAGACGCCTCAGTCGAACAAAACAGCGAGCAAGGTCCTTGGATTGCTCCGCGAGCTCTTGCGGCGGCTCCAGCGACAGCTCATCCCAAGACTCATCCTCAGACAGAGGCAGGCAGAAATGCATGGAAATGCATAGAGATGCATGATTCAAGTGACTAGAAGTGCTTTTCAGCATCCCGGAGGTCTCTGAGCTGCTAACTTCTTGCGAATCTGAAATCTCCTGGCGTGAGGCATCTCGAAGCTCACAACACCCCACCTCAGCGTCGCCTCGGCGGAATCTTCCAAAGCCTCGCCATCCAGCTCCTCCACCTGCGCCTAGACATCTAGACATGCAGAGATATGTCGGGTTGCGAGTGCCAAAATGCCCGACGCAAGACCTGAACGGAGCAAGGTGCGTCAACGCCATCGAGCTGTTTCTCTTCCGGTCCACCGAGTTGTCAAATCTGGAAACCGCGCCTCCGGGCACAGGGCCCGCAACTCTGCCCGCAGCGCCGCGGCACGGGCCCTGGGTGTCCAGAAGTCCGCCTAGCAACATGCAAAATGTGGCAAGCGCAGACGCTGTAATTGAACCACCTGGCTGCCTGCAAGATAAATGCCCGGAAAATCCGTCTCTGCCCACTGCGCGCACTGCGTTTCTGAAGGACCCTCTCTCCAAGGCTCCCATCAATTCTCGTGAACATCAACCTTAAGGCTCGCAACCGCGAGACCGCAAGGCGGCTTCTGCGTTTCACGGCCTGCGCCGTGCCGTCGACGCAGAAGCTGGGCTCTCCGATCACCCGGCCCAGCCGGTAGAGCGCGGAGACCTGGGCGCTTCGTCTGGCCATGGGGCACAACCTATGGCTCCATTTGGGTGGATGAACATCCACTTGCCACCTATGATGTTCAGGGGTTTTGAGGGCTTTGACCCACAGCCATGTTTGTCCCTTGAGGCTCTTCCGACGTCCGGAAGTTCTCATGTCCCGCATGTCCCGCATGTCCCGCATGCCTGCGCCATGGGCACGTTGGACACCCGCAGGCGTTGGCCTTCCACCAGCTCCTGCGTCCGCGTGGCCAAAGATGTCGAAAGCCAATCTCAACCGATCTCAACCTTACCTGACGTCAGCTGGCAGCCGAAGGTCAAGGATTCAAGGTGTCACACTGGCGCTAGGGATATTATGATGATCCAAATGCCATTTCAAGCATGTCAGTCGTATTCCCCCACCATTGCGTGCAGCAACATTTCCACCACACTTGCACATGATTGCATCTGTGCGCTTGAGCTCTGAATACAAAGGAATTGACCCAACTTCACCTTGCTGCTTCATCTGCAGATGCGTCTGGCCGATACCCCCCGGCGCTTCCTCCAACTCGGCTTCTTCAAGGACTGCCCGGGTGGCAGCGGAATATGCGCGGACCTCACTCCATGATAAGAAAGTTGGTCCGGATGTTCCCGTCACAAGCGGCCTACAAACAAAACTCATGTCGTGGAAGCGAACGCAAAGCATCACAAAGCACAAAATATCTAACGAACGCTAGCTCTCGTTGGGGCCAAGGGCAAGGCTAGCCCACCGGTGCCCAACTTGATGCCGCCAAAATACCTGGCAGCTTCTCTCCTCACTGCGCAACTGATAGCAAAGTGACAGCGACGAGTGGTTTTTTGAGAAACTCCACTCGTGTCCCGAGTAACCAAGGTACAAGGGTGCCGTGTGACGACGACGATTGCACCATAAAGGCCAGATCCTTCTAGCACGGATCGCATGGGCATACCTGGCGAGTGGAATGGAGTGCGACACCCCAAATGGGACGACAAATCCACCAGGTTGTTCCAAATCGTAAGCTAATTCATTGCATGTGCTGCCCATGACGTGGCGTTGCCTGCCGTGCCGGCTGGTTCACCATCATCGGAGCTGGCCACCTCGCCACCTGCACGGAGTGGAACAAGAATGAACATGTCGAGGGGAGTTGGCATGCTTGCCGTCGACAGGCATGCTTCGGTGCAGTACCCACTTACCCACAACATCCAAGAAAGCATGTAGTCACGCTATGCTCTAACATGCTTCCGACAAAGCCCGCATTCCAGGCCAGCTAGGATCTTGTGCCACATGCAGCCTCTGCTGCGGGCGGCCCAGCAGTTGTGGTTGGCTTTGGGGTCTGCCACCATGGCCCTGCACCGGACTGACTGCGCTCAACCGGCTCGGCGCAATCTCGCCTGAACTCCTTGGCTTGCTCCAGCGTGGCGCTGTCTGCCAGGCGCGCCACGAAGCGGCTCTTCTTGATCACCAGCCGCGCCTGGCTCAAGGCCAAATCGCACCAAACTGGAGCATGAGAGCAGGAGCATGACTCATTGACTCATTGACACTCAATTGCTTGCGAAACTCTCAACTGCCCTGACCTGAGTCACCCATCGCCGGATGCATACCTGGCCTCCCAAAAGCCGGCCGGCGGCTTCCCGAGCTGCCTCGTCCATCGCTCAAAACTCCGAAGACTCCGAAGACTCGTCTCAAAACGTCTCGGCAGCATCGCATCCCTCTGAAATTCTCTGAAAAGGCGCACGGTGCCGTCACTTACCCGACCCCTCGGGGGCAGAACCAAACACAGCTCACTGAACATAGGTGTGCTCGGGAGGGATTTGCCAAGGGTCAGCTGATCTTAGCTGTCTACTTCGTCCACTTTCGGGGGCTGGCAACGCTCAGACTCGGATACGTCCCCAAACAGCCAAGGCACAGCCGCGTGGAAGTCAGGCCCTCAGTGCAACTTCTGTGAGCTCTGAGAGCCGCATTGACAAGATTTGAAAGTCGGACGCAGACTCGAAAGTTCCAACAAGCATTCAACATCGCTACCAGCTCCCGGCAACAGGTGCCTTATGCCAAATATCTGTCTGACTGAATCTATAACATTGGGAAACCAAGCCAGGGACGGGACTCTTGATTTTGCGCTGCTGAACTGTCCTTTGATTTGGGATTTCTCCTCTGCAAGCCGCTCTGCCCGCCTTGAGCGACAGCGAACATCTCATGAGCCTCATCCACAGGCTCAACGAGTCACAAAAAAAACCTCACAACTTGCTGCGGAGGAGCACGGCAAGCGCAAACCAGCACGAGCACCGGCAGGGCATGGCGCCATGGAATGTTGACCGTGTAATCCCGGACAACTCTAAACGCATGCAGCTCCTCTCGTAAGGACATAGCTGCAAAGTCACGCTGACAAGTCACGGAAAATCACACGAATGGAGCCGATTCCGCTGACAAACATAGCCGATTTGATTCTCATGACTTTGAGCCGCACAAATCGCTGCAAACCTCATGGCATTGAGCTCTCTTGCACTTCGAGTCTCTGCCCTCGCCGACCCGACCCACCTGCACCACAAACACGTCCCCCAGATGATTCGACGTGTACGTCGGCCTGAAGGGAGTGCTGATGTGCGAGATCCATCAGCTGGGCGCTTGCAAAAAATGCCCGATGAATGCCTCTGATGGGCACATGAGACAGCAATGTGTTTTGTGCTTCCCGAGCCAGCACATGTCTTGCGCGATCTGCTCGTTGCTCCAGGTTCCAGATGGGCCGGTTTTAGCAAGTTGGCGCTCCTTGGCCCATGAATCCGCCCAATCCGACTCTCCGCCTCTCTCCGGAATCCGCCGTGACGACATACGCCTCGGACTCAATTGGGCCCCTTCCCCAGGGTCCGGAGTCGAACGTCGAACGTTGCCTGCGCAGGCCGGTCAGGATCCAGGCTCCAATGGCGAACCTGGCACAGCTCGCTGGTCATCGGCCAGGCTGGGAAAGGACAAACCCACACGAAGCCACACGTACGCGAAAAGCCAGAGTTGACGCTTCCGCAGCTTCGAGTGGAATGTTGCTATTTCGTTTCATGCAGTGCCGAATCTGCACGCAACTTGCGCGTTCGGTCAAGCTCTGGCTGGAAGTTGCAACTGTTGAGCAAAACCAAAGCCGCATGCCAAAGGCACCTTCCGCTTTTCGGTGCTAGAGGTATCTACGAAGCAACAGCTACGAGCATTTTGCTGCAATCGCCAAGCTTCGCGACCCGCAGCGCGGATCTTTTCGGAGGTGTTTAGCCAAGCGGTAGCTCCTTAGAAGGGCCTGTTGATCAACCCTCACGCGTGTAAAATTAGACGCGTGCTGTGCACAGTGCATACTTGAGGCATGAACGGGTGCTGTGCATAGGCCCTCCAAGCCGCAGCCTTGCGATCCGTACCCGCTGCAAGGAGGAAGGTTTGCGCGCCCCGTGGCGGCAGCCTGGCATGGACATGTGCCCCCTGGTCCCCTGAGTGATCTCAGCGCCGGGGTGACCACAGTGAGCGCACCCCGTCTCGTTGGATACCTGACCTGAATTGGCATCTCGCGAGCATTCCGCAAAGCGGGCGCCTGCGTGCCAGGCAGCGGCACGTCGACTGCAGCGCCTTCAGAGCTGGCAACGCTTGCACTCAACACAATCCATCATGGACAAATGCATTGAATCAAAACCGACTCACTATCCGCGTCCCAAGCATCGTGTTGGAACATTCTCAGCAACTTCACTGCAACGCAGCCGCTGACAAGGCTTCAGAAGTCGCGCCTGCAGGAACCTCCACCAAACTCGGTATGCTCAAAGCCTGAGCGGAAGCAAGCGGAAGCTTGTAGGAAGGCGACATCAGTGTCCTGGCCTCTTTGGGCTTGTCTGTCAGGAAGAGAGTCAGGCAAGATCCTGCTCCCAAATGCCGGCGGCATGACAGCAAACTCTGCCAGCCTTGCGAGATGTCGAACAGGGCAACCTCGTTGCAGCGGGAGGACAAAGCCTCAGCAAGGTGAGGCTGGAACCATCTGACTGCTGTGAACCAACTTCCAGAAAAAGGCATGATTGTGTTCCAGGCTGCTGGCGGCAAACACACCCTGCGAGGAGCCAACTTCAGCGCTCCTTTCAATCACCGTGTCAGTTCCCCCGCGTGCAAACAAGCCCTGCTCATCCGCTGAACTCGTGCGCAGTTGAAAAAAATGTCCTCATGTCCATGATGCTGGCTCGAGATGACACCTGCAGATTCAAACATCAATGCATTGTGGCGAGGTTTACAAGTTGCAGCAAGTAGCATCTCACGGCCTGCCTTCCAGTACTTCCGAGGCGTGAGGAAGCGAAGGTCGTAAACCAGCAGACCCCCGCCTGAAATGCAGAACAGCCACTGAAAGCCGACGATCTTGTCGCTCTTCTCATAAATAGACGACAGAAATGACACACGAAAAATCGTGACATTGGGCTTCACTCTGAACATGGATGAGTTTCATACAGCTTCATAATGTTTCGATCGGGTTCCGCGCCTGTGGTGCCTACCACGGCCCCGAAGCCGTCCCTGGCCAGGGCCACGGAGCTCGGGACACCCAGCCAAGGCCTCAGCTCGAAGCGGGGCACACAGCCTATGTCAATCGTTTGAGTTCGATACCAAAGCGGAAAATGGGGGCAATGACAATTTGTTCATGTTGTTCACAATTTGGCAACTCAAGGTAAACTCAACAGCTTCTGGTAGTTCATGTTTTTCCAGGTATAGGCACCGGCTTTCAGGTGACCGCTGGAAACCACGACTGTTGGATCCTTGGCTTGGCCTCTCGGTTTCGCCTGAACCGGAAGGTGGATCCGAAGCCAAATGTCCCACGGCCCGCGAAGCAGGTCTCCAAGGCTGGGCACCCGCTATGATTGGGAGCAATACAAAGTCACTAAGTGGAGAGCATCGCGTGCCAGTGACCCCGGCCAGAGACATGTCCGAAGGTTTGCCATTTGGTCCAAAGATACGCAGAAAGGGAGGTCATTCAGTTCTTACGGAAGTGGATGGCAAGCAAGGTGTGCCCACGCAAGGACGAGATCCCTGAGCGCCGAAATGTGCCGAACTTGGAGCAGCTGTTTGGTTTTTGTGGAACTCACAGGGAAAAAATCAGCGCCTGGTGCTTCTTTGGGGAAAACAACTTTCGGTCAGACGTGATGAGTTCGGCATCGTAGAACCATTCTCTGGGTGGCCCCGGCAGCTGCAAAGCCCAGGCGTCCTTCGGGCCCCGCAGGTCCCAGCCCCGCAGCGCTCCGTGCTCCTGAGGCGAACCGGTCTTTTGCGTGACAGCCATGGGGTCGCTAAGCCACTGAGTTATAGTACGTCACAGTAAACCATTATGTTTTTCTTTTTTTCGGGGGGAAGCAGCCAGACTGGGTCATCTTTAGATATGTTTCCGGGCGGTTTGGGGGATCTATCTCTCCCAAACGCAAGCTGCAGGCTCGCGTCTTGCCTGCGCAAAGATGACAAGGGACTCCAGCTCAGTGTCAAACCTCAGACATGGTGTAAGCGATGCTCGGGTTTGCACTGAGGGCTTCCCTCCGTCATCCTTTTGCCCCGCCCATTCCATGTCCGTGCAGCAACAAGCCGTTTCAGCCTGGCCGCTGCTCGATGCACATCACCGCTCCCGCCTGAGCAAATAAAGTACAGCACAACGCGCGACAGATCTAGCTCCTTGACATCTAAAAGACCAATTCTGAACGCAAGAACATGTCCCAGCGTGGGTCCTTATCCCACCGTGCTACGAGTCCTACGAGAAAAGACATGCCAAACTGTGAAGGCGCTTCATCCCACATATCCCATATTGCACGCGAGCCACGCCTGGCACCACTGCGCCGCCTGTGACAGTTTTGCGCCGCTGCGGCTGGACTCCACCTCGCAAGAGATCTCGACTCGTGTCGGGTCGTCGGGTCGTCGGGTCGTCGGGTCGTCGGGTCGGCTCGGGTGCCATCGGATTTTCTTGGGGATCAACACCTTCGGAGTCTGGCTGATCTTCACTCACGACGCCTGGAAGGCCCGAACGGACCGGATAGATCCCGGCGCCTTGTAGAGCAAGACCTCGCCGTCCGAGGTGCCCACGGCAAAGGCCTGGCACCGTGGGTGACTCGGGAGACATGGAAAGTGAGACATGTGAACTGTCACACAGCTTGAGTTACAAAGACTTGCATTCGCCGTGAAGGTTCGCTTCCGCTGGATTTACAGTTGCTTTGGCGAGACTTTTCTGTTTCAAAGTGTCAGAAGGTTCAGAACATTTCAGAACCTTACCTGGCGCCGACCCAAAGGTGTCGTCCCTGAGCTCCACGGGGCCTCTTGCGAGCCGCTCGCGCCTTGGAGTTCCGGATGGTGCGCAGTGCGCGCAAGCCCGAGCTCCTAGCCCGAGATGTCGACTCGTCGAAGCTTTGAACTCAACTGAAAGTTCCAAAGGGCCCTCGCCTCGACACCGTAGCGCTGTAGGCAGAGCCGGGTGCGGTGTCGGACTCCAGCTGAGCACAGCCTGAGGCGAGAGATCAGAAGGGATCAAGGCCTCCTCAGGAACAGTCCTGGATGCATTGGGCGATTCATTACAAAAAGGAAATCCTGGATGCGTTGGGCCGAACTTGATTCACCCAAAAATGCAGAGCCACCTTTTCGGGCCATTTGCAAAGTCAACCTGGGTAACCTACTTGAATAGTTTGGGGTCCAAGTTCCTTTAAACAGCTGCCATCAAGTATTCTCAGCATGCGGAGCTAGCAATTCTGTGCAATTGAGTCAGCCAAGCTCGACACTCCACAGCTTCACTGTTCCGTCCTTGGAGTCAGGAAGCAAGGCAATGTTGCAAGGCAATGTTGCAAGGCAATGCGAGAAGCAACAGGCTTCTTTGCAAATCAGCGCGTTTGAGCTTGGCAAGCCTTGAAAGTTGGGCAGTTCCATTTCGAGCGCCGGGCCCGTCCCCCTGTCACGAGCACACGGGAGTCGTCAGTGGTATCGGCTTTGACCTGGCGGCACCCTATGCAAAAGAGGCCATGTCAACATGTCGACGTCAAGTTGTCAAGGGTCTGAGCAATGCAGTGTCAAATAAAATACCAAAACGCCATCAGGCGCAGTTGTCAAACCCGTCGCAGACCTTTTGAAGAACCTGCCAAAACGGCCAGGATGGCCACAGGCACTCCACTCTGATGCGCGTACCTGCCAGCAAGGCGCCAGGCGCCAGGCGCCACTGGCCCTTCCAAGTTCTGACATTCCCCGTGAAACAGGATCAAATGGATCGACATGGATTCCATGGACAGGGGTCAAATCGGTCAAATCGGCTCAGGCGGCTCGTAGAGCGTCGTCAGCAGCTGCCCCCGTGGCCTGGAGACCGGAGACGCCGACGCCGGATCTCTCACGCTGGCTCCCGCCTCCAAGTTTGGTTCGGAGAGCCATGGGAGGCCTGGCACCCGTTGCACCCGTTGCAACCGTCACAACCGTTGCAGCCGCAAGAGCTTGCGAAAAATGGCGCCTCGGCACCTTCGTAGCGCGGCCACAAGCCCTGGGAGCCAACAGACGGCCCATGCGACTGCCGTTCTTCGAAACACGACTGAGGACATCAGCCTCTTGACTGGGGCTAGCAGAACATGCCAATTTGCTCAGCTGACCGTGGGAGGTTTTCAGGCCCAGGGATTCGTATCTTATTGTTTAAGTGAAATTGTTGGGATTCGGTTCAAGATGGACTGCTGCAAAAGCATTGTGTCCATTCATCAAGGGCGAAAATAGATGATCCAAGACGACAAACATATTTCTGTTTCCTAGTCTTCACCAGAAAAATATACCATGCAACTGGAAATTGCACGACTAGGCGGAGCCACAAAGCCACAGCAAGTGATGACATGCGCAGACGCGCTGCACTAGAGCTTCTCTCCAGGGACCACGCCCGAAAGGCTGGCGCTGGACTGGCCCTCAGCAAACAAAACGCAAAAGCTGTGAGCATTCCCGAAACAACATATGGGTACGGGTCAACATTAAACCACCGGGGGACCGCAGGTTTTAGTCCTTGGTTCCATTTTCCAGGTTTCCATTTTGGGTACCTATTTTTGACCCGCAGCAACATATCAGGAGGATTGTGGGTCAATGACTCACGCCGATGTGACTCGTTTCATGTTATCTTGTGATTCCGCTGCCCATAAATCCTGAGCCCACGGACCTGTCGCTGCCAGCCTGAGCAGAGCCCCAACGTGTTGCCAGGGAACACGAGCTCCAACGTGCTTCTATCCCATATTTTGGGGAATGGAACGTGACGGGATCCCCTGGATCCCGGCCATGGACACGGCGTCCACAGAGAACTCTGCATCCTGGAAAGCCGTGTCACCCTGCTAGCACTGTCTGCTAGCGGTTTGTCCGTGGAGTGTGCCTCATTCATGGGAGTTGGTCTAACCAACAACTGGCATTCCGAGGAGGTTTGCCCACAAGTCATTAGGGATCACCGCAAGAGCCGTCTGCGAAGTTCAGCGCAAGTGTTCCGCACCCACTCAACACCAAACGCATCATACAGGGCCTGACGGCTTTTAAAGACAACATTCCGCCGATCAAGTAAAAGGGCAGGGCTCAAGGTTCGTGCCAATCCCAGTCCTGCATGTGCATGCTCCCAAAGGACTCTTGCCTCAGACAGGCTGCATGTTGCAACAATTTCAAAAGTTAAAGGTAACTATGCCAAGGGGACCCCTAAACTGTCTACTTTGATCCACTTTGATCACTGGGCTCTAAGTCTGCAAAGCTCAGTGTGCGGCAGCATGGGCCCGCGGTCGCCTGGAGTCTCTTGACACGGCTTCCACAAACTACACGCGAACCGGGATATCTGTCAGGCAACTGTGTTCTGGTTCCTGACGGATCACATGTCACCGGCTGAGCGGCTGAGAATGAGATCGTCTCATTATGGAACTGTGCGCCCAGCCTTCTACGATCTCTGCCCGCACCTCAAGATTGCAGCAGGCTGAGGCTGTCAGGCGATGTCCGCAGCACAGCAACTTGGCTAGTCTGGGCAGCCGCGCAGACAAGGTTGTGGAGGTAGACGCCGAGGGCAGTGCATACCTCGGTCATGCGCATGCATTGCACGCATCTCAGATCATTTCAAGTCGTCTCAAGTCGTCTCAAGTCGTCAAGGGGTGAAACGCGTCAAAGGCTTCGAAGGGCACATTGAGTACGGCGTGCCGTCCAGGAAGCTCAGCGCGCCCAGGTCGCAGAGCTTCGGAGGCAGGCAGAAGGCCTTGACCAGGTAGGCCTGACAGACACTGACAGTCGACTGACAGGCGACAGGCGCAATTCACTGCGTCTGGCAACGCAACACGCATGCGGGCGGTCGTGGCATGGGCCTGCAGAGACAGGAAGCCCAGGGGATGCTGAAGACCTCGGGGCATCAGCGGCATCCAGCTGTGGTGGTCGCTGGACTTGGCCTGCACCGCTGTGGGCTTGCAGCTGGCAAGACCGCTTTGATTGCATGTGGCCGAAGGCATAGGAGCTAGTTGTTTGAAACCGGCTGAGCCTTGGGGAGCCTCTCTGTTTGGGTGAGATTGGAGGACAGAGGCCGCCCAGGTGCTCACACTGCCAGTTGTGAAAAATCGAATGGAAGAAATTGGATGATCGGAACTGGCCAGCGTCATCAAAGGTTGGCCATGGCCAAACCCATTCAAGCTAAGTTGAAAGTTCTAGTCCGGCACAAATTCTTGAACTCCACATGCCTCTTTAACTTGCCATCAGGCCCCGCCTCAGCGCAGGCTGCCAAGCTTTGACTAGCTGCGCAGTGGGGGTTCACCGTCACGTATTGGATGCATTGCACCTTCCTTAGATTATCGTTCCATCTCTTCCGACTCACGGAGTGATCAAATCAAAGCGTTATATCAAAGCGTTATGTTCTGAGATGTTGCAAAAGAATTTGCGCCGCGCCGGTCAGGCCTGTGAATTGCGCCAGCTATGCAACTAGCATGCAATGGTAGTACAGGTAGAACAAATGGATACATACTGTTGACCCAGCAATGCCAGACCTAACAGTGAACCCACCAATCTACACAATTTACATGTGGATTAGGGAATGAACATCTGTATCCAAATATGTCCAGAACAAGCATCTCAAACCACGTCATCGACCTATCCTCAACCCTCATCCAGTAGCTCTATAGCACAGGCCAAGTCTGCAAGCTGACACAAGGGTCCCGTCACTGGCTCCAGTCGCGGAAATATACGTTTGAAAGCACATGTCCAATTCAAGCATGATGCCAAGGACAAATCTAGACCTGTGGACACCTAGAGACACCTCTAGACACCTCTAGACACCTCTAGACACCTCTAGACACCTCTAGACACCTGCAGTCTGGCCTATAGGAGTCAAAGGCGCCCAGCGGTCAGGTGCTGCGGCGCTTCCAAGGTGGATCCACTTCCGCGGCTGGGCCGAGACCGCAGCAGCGGCTGCAAATACGGCCGCAGCAGCTCCCAGGCCCTACAATGGCATTGTGCGTGTTCACCTGGTGACTTGCCTTATGTAGCACCTCTTCGCCTCACAACTTCAAACTGAACTTGCTAGATTTCTTGGGTCGGTTGAACACCCCCAATTCACCTTCTGTTGCTCACACCGCCCTGACCTGTCCGTGGTCTGGGGGACCTCCTCGTTCAACAGGTCTTTGAAGCGCTGCCGCGGCAAAGGCTCGACCAGGCTCAGCGGAACCCGGAAGTTGTGGCTGTTCCTAGGACAAATTCTAGCTCCAGGTGCGCAATATACATACACATATAGAAAAATACATATTACCCCCCCCCCCCAAAAAAAAAAACTTCTGTTGCCTCTCCAGTGCCCCTCTCAGTTTTGAATATTTGAGCTTGATGTGTTTTGCTTTTTTTGTGCTTTCTCTGTGTTCCCCTAACTTTTTCCTCACTATTCCCCTCTAGTATTCCCCCACCGTACTCCCTTAATCATAGTATGTTCGTAGTATTCCCCTGAGTAATTATTCCTCTAGTCTTCCCCTATTCCTTTAGCACTATCGTACCGCTTTATTGCCCTAGTAAGTCCTTCTAGTTTCCTACTACACCCCCAGGATCCTCCCAGTATTTTGTAATATTGTCCTAGCATTCTGCTTTGTACCCAGTGTTCCCCTTTGATTTGTTTCCTCACTGTTCCCCTAGCATTTCCATTCTGCTAGTGTCACCCTCAATATTCCCCTAGTATTCCCTTGTAAGGGCATACTTTTTCCAAGCATTTCCACAGTTCCCTAATATTCTCCCAGTTCCCACCCTTGGTATTCCAATAGTACCCAATGTTATCCTCTCGGGAATATTAAGGGAATAATAAGGGAATTCTCATTGATAGCGGAATACTAAGAGGATACCGAGCAAAAACTACGGCAGTACTACAAACACTTTAAGGTGATAATGGGGCGAGTACAATGGGGGATGCTACGAAAATACTAGAAGAATACTTGGGGGTTTTCCAAGAAAACCAAAGAATTACTTGGGGAGTTCTCAAGGAATAGTGAGCCGGACATGGAACACAGACAGATAAGTCCCGAATGGCACAGGGCTTATGTGCAGAATGGCAATGTTCCGGCGGGCACATGATGGAGTGGGCCTGAAGAGGGACACATCGAGACGTCAAGGAACAGCAGATGCCACCAAAAATACGACAAATATAAGAGCGCATCGCCTGGTTGCAAGCCAAATAGGGCTACAGTTTTGACAGCCGAGCCTGGCTGCACGATCAAAAGGAAGGAATTTTGTTGCATATGGCAAAATACCCACAAACAGGTTGTACGCCATCGGCTGATATCAGTAATTTGACCTCGCACAGAAAATGAAAAGGTGCAACAGCTTGCCGCGCTAACACTCAAAGGTTTGCACATCAGGTGTTCTGCTACAGTTCGCAGCGCTTAGCAACTGGAGCAACTGGAGCGGGGCCTTAGGGGAGCTAGCTGTCGCCACCTGCGAGACGGCGCCGTGTGGACCTTGTGCTTTGCTTGCCCTTTGCAGGAGGGAGCGCTGCAATGTGAGGACACGTGTGTGTGTGTAGCCGTTGACGCGCCCAGCTTTGATGTTGCACGCAGTTTGCGCATGGAATGTATCACATAGTGTGTATGTACATAAGAATATTACACATGTATGAATATGATTACATGGGGCAGCACAGTTCTTGTAAAATCTATCCAGTTGCAACATTCAGCAGGTGTCATTTTGTTGGTACCTGTGCGGTAAAAGATCTTTCCAGTGTACTGGACCGGCCTTTCGAGCATTCGGACACACTTTCCATTGAGTCGCCTTCCATGGACCGGACGGAGCAGACGGGGAAGAGAGCGCGCATGCAAGCCGACATTATCTATTAAAAAACAAAAGATGGTGCTGGGAGAGGGACATCACTCTCCCACTTCTGATATGTTTGGAGAGACGTATGAATGGAGATGCTTATAGCGTAAGACCGGTGGATCAAAGGAGCGTCTCACTGGACCACTGTCACTGTCAACATTCCCCATGGCCAAATCAGAAGCTACATCCAATATGGCATAACGAGATACCACTTGCACTTACAAGTGAACCTCAATCAGCATGGATCTGGACATGCACTAAGAAGAAAAATGCAACTGTCAGGATACCAATGGCGATGCAAATAACGTCGAGTAGTTCACATATCCCTTTTGATAGCAAAATATTGGCGTGCGTCCAAGTAGCGCCAGCAAATACGGGCGAACTGCCGGCAGGAGGAAAACATACTGGTCCACTTCTGTCAGCTCTGCTGCCAATGCTTCCACCACCTGCTCACAATGTGAAGGAGAGCCCGAAACGAGAAATGAGCAGTTCCAGTACATGCGGTTGAAAAAGAAACTCGAACAAATTCTCCCCTTGTCAAACCAGCTGACTGGGTAGCCTTCTCCGCAAAGGGTCCAGCTTCCTCTGCATCCAACTTTGTATTCCAGTCCTTCCTTCAAACCAGGGCACTCCAATCGAAATGGATGACTGCATGCCGCCTTGACTTGTCCAAGGACTGCGGAACCATCGCTCGTGGCCATAGTGGATTGGCAAAGTCCATGCTTAACTCGTCGTGCATGACAAACATTAATAAGTCTTAAGTTGTAACGTGGATTCTGAAATCTTCACAATCTCGAGACACACATGAACTTACTGAGCCATGAATTAACTTCAGCTAGCCAAAGGAAGTTTAGTTAGAAAACTTCCGTAATATGAAAGCGGAGTTACCCACATGCGAAGCACGCGAAGAGTAGCCCTGTTTTGCGCCGCGGCCTCGCCACGGTCTCGGACAGTTCCCCAATGGCACTGCTGCGCAGACTGTTTCGGAGGTGCAAATCACGTGGCAGGCGCAGCACTTTGACAACCTGAGGTGCAGATTTTGCGGCAGGCGCAGCATTTTGCAGCCACGCAAGGTCAAGTGTAGATTTCGTGGCGGGCGCAACGCTTTCGCAAGGTGGAGTACAGATTTCGTGCCAGGCGCAGCACTTTCGCAATGCCAGGTGATAGATAGATAGATAGATAGATAGATAGATAGATAGATAGATAGAATAGATAGATTAGATAGATAGATTAGATAGATAGATACATAGATACATAGATAGATAGATAGGTAGATCAAATGGACAGAGAGAGAGAGAGAAAGAAAAAAAGAAGACAGAGACGGATGCTTTCTTTCTCTGCCTATAGACACGTGTCCTGTCTAGAAACTTCCACCCTCCAGCTCTGCTGGAGTATACCTGGTAACGATGATACCATTAAGAATAACTATGCAAAACATTTGGAGCGTAGATTCAACGCCGTGTGGTGCCTGGCTGGCGTAGCTGCGAATTTGCTCGGAGGGGTGCACCAACAGCGCTGCGACCTGGCGCATGGTGCCTTGGCGCCTTGGCGCCTTGTGTGTCAGTCCCTATCGCTAAATCGTGAAACATACACTGCAACGTGCTGATACGAATTATTACAAATTACACCTGACTTCTTCAAAGTGCAAAGGCTTGAAGGGCACAGATGCAACGATTTGAGGCTTTGCAAGGCGCAAGAATTGTTTTCTTCGACGGCTCGCGAGTAATGTATCAAGTGGTGTGCCAAGCGAGCGCAGGACTCCTTGTTGGCCACAGTCACCAGGCTTTGCCGACGCCTGGATTCAAGCAAGCGCGGTCTTGACACGTGAGACGTGCACAGACTGGGAAGCTGGACAGCACTTGCTGCGCGACCAACTTGGTCAAGCCCAGCAGCGCTGCTTCCAGAACGCGCTCCTCCTGACAAATGCAAGACCAAATTGCATTATTTCTCACATGGGCCACCATGCGGTTGGCCGGCCTGCAATTCTCGTGTTGGTTGCACTTACTGCCTGAACCGCTGGCTTTGCCTCCCGTGCCACCTTCAAAGCTGGTATCCTGCTTGTTGATCCGAACAGCATGCTTTCCTGCTGAGTTGCGCACGTTTCATGCAAGGAACCAAGGCAAAGCAGAGAATATATCGGCCAACTCCTGATCCAAAAGGGCTTGCTCATAACCTCAGGAAAGGTCAGTCATGGCTCGGTTCCAACGGCGGGCCATAATGGAATCCAAAAGGAAGCACGTGAGCCATGGGCATTCTGTTGCATTCCAAGAATGGGCGGGGCCCCTCGCTTTTGGGAAACTTGGTGGTTGCCCTCCTCCGCAAACCTACAGTCAACTACAGTAAACTGCCGATGTCAAGTTGCTCCCGGTCTTCAAAACTGAGGCTGGCACAGGGCCAAATGATTCCCTCCAAAGAGACCTCCGAATATCGCTTTCGCGCGCGACTCGGAAGCTCGGCCCTGTGCCCAAGCAGCCTTCCTTCGCGGTTTCCCTTTGAAGCCGCCACTCTTTTCTCCCGTTTCCGGCATGCAACATGAAAGTGTTTACCAAAAATGCCGACGGCTTTGACGCCCGAGCTGCCCCTGAAAAAGCCCGGGCCCCGCCTGCCCCACTCGTCGCGGCAGCAGCGCCGCCTCCGCGCAGAAGGCCGCACGGACCTGGGCCATCGCGTTGAATGGCGACTCGGTGTTGAAGCGAATGCGAGGAATCTCAGATAATGAAACATATGAAACTTTGATGCCAGCTGAGTCAATCAATACTTCAACTTGAGAAGTGGAACCTGCATTGCCATCCTAACTTCAACGCACTAGAGGGTTTATGAGGGTTCGTTGATATCTTTGGGCTCTTTGCGCGCAAATATCGGAGTGTGTCTTGCTCAATGGCAGAGGACGCTAGGTCAATGCCCAAGATGAGCAGAGAACATCAGCTTGCTCCAAAGCAACCTCTACAACTTCTGCCTTTGGCAAATCCAGTCAGGTTTGGGTAAGCTTCGAGGAGCTGATGCTCACACGTTCGACCTGTCGAAAGCGCCGGAAACCCGTGAGGCCACCTCCCAGGCCGGGTCATTCATGAAGGAAATGAGGTACGGCAGCAGGAAGTTGTGAGTCCCCTCCCGACCTCTGATCAGAGCAGTCAAAGCTCCAACCACTCCGACCGGAAAGCGGAAAAAGTGCCCAGCCGAAGCAATCTGCAAGCACCTCGGAGACGGAATCGAGAATGAGAATAGAGAATGGGGCAGTTCGGTTGAGAAAGTTGCGTATTCAAGATTCCAGGTCAGAAAAAACCCGGAGTGGTGCTCCTTCAAAAACGAGGTCGCTGACGAGCCAGCAGATGCAGGCGCTGGTAGCAATTTTTGGCTTTCCTCTTCACTGCCGATTTCTTGTGGGAAATTGAGAGCCATGGCTGTTTATGCGGAAGCATCATCACACCAGTGAAATGATGACATGTCTGTCCAAAGTCGGGATCTATTTCAGAGGCTGATTCTGCAATCTTGCTTGTTTGCCAGCGAGATCAGCAGCCATTTTTCACTCGTGCTCGCATGCCATTTATATATTGGGCGTTTTAACATTTGGGCACGCCGGTGTGCGGTCGAGGGGAGAACGGTCGATCAGGCACGTCGTGAACATTTGGACTAGCGGGCGCAGTCGAGCAGTATATGAGCGCTGATGCCTTTTAGACGGTCTGGGTTCAAACTTGCGTCATTTTGCCGAGATCTGCTTTAGTGGTGGATCTTTCTAGAACAGGTTTTTGTTGAAGAGCACATGAAATGCTTTGCTTGTTGGGACCTACGTGGGTGGGGCACTTTCTATGGCTGGTATGGGTTGACCCACTTGCGGTTTCTGTTGCTGAGTGCCGCACGCACATGTTTCGGAGCAACCCGATCTTGACCTGCGAGCAATGGGCGAAACAAGCTGCAACTTGAGGCATGTGTGGCCACGCAAGTGTGCAGTGCTTGGTCACTGGGACGCTTGCACTGACCAAATCTGTGTTGTCAGTTGTGCAAAGGTGGCAGCGAAAATTGCAGGACTGGCACGAAGACCTGTTTCAAGATAAGGAGACAGAAGTTGACACATGTCCCCAGCTGCAATCTTGAAGAGGAGCAAAGTGGCTCCCTTTGGCTCAATGGAACTTGAAGCCAAGACGGAAACTGGAACCATGCATCCAGCCTCACGGCCCACGCTCAGGCTCATCAAGAGCTCCTCCTGAAGCGCAAGAGCATGAGCTGTGTGTCCCCGTGAGATCTGAAAAACTCGATCCCAAAGCACTGACTGAGCCTGTCTCCGTGTCCTGGCTCCTCTCCGGAGAATGCATCGGCAGAAGCTCCAAAAGCGCCTGGCGCGGCTCCAATATTCAAACTTGGAACTGATTGAATGACTTGGAACCATTTTCACAGCCGATCGATTGTAGCTGTCATGCAACATGTCCGACAAAAGTGCCTTCACAATCTTCTTGAGCGCTTCCTGGAGGTTCTGAAGTTGCACATCAAACCTTGCAGCCGTCCAAATTGCGGTAGCCTCTTGCAAACACCATCTGGACAGGCTCGCGCACCCAGAATTCTTGGTGCCAGGCGTGTCTACCACCTCCTGACCCTAGCATTGCATGTGCAAAGGATGGTGAGCAATTTTATCTTTGGAAGTGAGCAATGTGAAGCAAAACACGGGCCTGCGCCGGCGTTGAGGCCTTGCCATCACTCACTCCCTGCCCTCTCTCTGTGACGGGAGTTAGGCCATCCACCATATTCTGTGTATACATATATATATATATATGTTGCATATGTATCTGCATCTGCACACAGCTTCCCGCCCACCCTCTCTGAAAGGGGTAGCAACATGTCATCTTTATACTCGTTATTGCATCATCAGTCATCATTGTGATCTGTTCAAGTCAACGGTATACTGATCGCTGTGGATGCTCCTTCACTTGAACAAAAACTAACTCTATTTCATCCTGGTCCGTCCAATGCAACATGTCGGAATTTTCAGCGCAGAAATTATTGGCCTCAACATCCCCAGCATCATCTGAGTGTGGCTTAGATAGCCAGGCTCTCTAAAACGTGAGCCGCAGAGTCTTTTGCAGATTCCCCTTGCGCTGCGATGCTCGGGAGTCAAGACTTTTGCTTACAAGTGCTAGTGCTTGAGATGCTCGAATTTTTCAGTTGAGTGCTGATGAATGTTGGCCGAGTTTGTTTGCACAACTGTTTGGGATGGAGTAAGTATTGATTGCGTCGTGGCTTCGTATGTTTCCGTCTTGACCTACTTTTCAGACCGAGTTTGATTTGATTGAATGTTTGCTTGGATCAGTTTTGTACCACATTGTTTTGTTTCGCTCAGTACTGTTGAATCTAGGTATAGAAAACACTGAGGGCCAAGTCCTTTGCAAGTTTTCTCAATTGGATGCTGGTGTGTATTGCTTTGCCCTTACATAGTCAAGCAGTTCGCACTGCGAAAACGGTCCTTTCAATTATGCTACAGCCCCCCCCCAAAAAAAAAACAGCCTTGCCAGAAAGGATGCGTTTCTCCGGAAAAGAAAGCATGCCATTTGGCCGTCAACTCAGTGAAACGGGAAGCCAGGACAAATCCAAAGATGCCGGGTCTTAAGAGCTTGGGATCCCACAGGCGGTTGATATTACAGAACCCTGGCCGCATCTGCTCATATTCCCAGCTCTTCAAATCAACAAACAATCACAATCAATTTAGAAAGATACAATATGTATACATACATCATATATATATATATATATATGTGTATATATGTATATATATATATATATATGTATATATTGTAGCTGAATCAAGACCACTTTAAGCAAGACACATCAACTCAAACAGGGGATCTGACCCTATATTTTTCTTGACGGTTGGCGAGGTTCTCCCCCCAAACTGTCTTGAGGAGCCTCAACTGGTGTGGGCCACGTCTCCAACTTCGATTTCACATAGGCCTTCCATCCCTCCCGGTTGGGTGGCCTCACAATCGACCTGGCTCAGTGAACTCTTGAAGAAAATCCGTCCTTTCAAGGAAAACCGCGGCTAAACTCCTCCCTCCCCCACCCCCCAAACCAGCTGAGCCTTGCTCTGAGCTTGGGGCGGTGAGCTCGGCACAGCGCCTCGCGTGAGTGGCCAGCGCCCCGATGTTCCGCGCCACCGAGAGCAGCACCTCGAGGCTTTTGCAACATGTCCAATACGTGCTACGTGCGCCCATGTGACCCATGTGACCCATGTGCCCCATGCCCTACATCCAAACAAGAAATTATGGGTCTGATTTGTTCAGGGAAGCTGGAGATTGTTGTAAGGTGGGAATCGGTCAAGGGTTGGTCTCTCGGAAAAAGGACCCTGACGACAACCCAGGCGATAGGTGCGGAAGAAGGACTTCCTGAAGCAACAAACTGCATGATTCCCGTAGAAAGGGATTGTGAATCTGCCCTGGGAGCCGTACCACGGGCTCGTTGCTCATACCACTCATCATAGACATGAGCTGTGGGAAAATGTACCTCTGAAGCCGTTTCCAAACAGCTGAACAGTACTCAGCTGTTTGAACACACCCGAACACGTAACAGAAAAAATGAACGCGTCAAAAAGAAATCTCTCCGCATGCGCACTCAGTGAAGAGCGGCGCGTGGCTTGCAGGCAAATGGTGTACCTCTCGCAGCTGCACAAGTTTGACTTGACCAAGTGACGGCGTTGCCAGCCTTTAAAGCAATAATGCAATCCGTTTTGACGGAAACCCGGGCCTCTGCCAAGGTGGTGCACAGAACATCAACAGACTTTGCGCGGACCTAGCGCAAAAATGGCGCGGGTCAAGCACACGGCCTCAGCTCGCGCCTTTGACACTGAGTCCGTCATGAGCAGGTGGCTATAAGGCAGAATCTGCTCCAAGATCGTGTCCTGCGCGAGCGATTGAAGCGTAAATGCCGACGTGCGCCAAGCGCTCCCCCGCGCGGTTCTTGCCCGGCCGAGTTGGACCCGGCCTGCGATGAGAAAGGCACCAGCAACTGCAGCATCTCCAGGCATGCCAACCTGGCCCTGAAAATCTCCGGGCGCGGCGCGCATGGGACTACACACGCATACATACGTATATGTATATATATATATTTATATATGCTAACCCCCCCCCTTCATCCACACCGAGAGCGCTGGATCCACGCCCAGAGTGTTGGATGGAAGACTTCACACTGTGCATCCAGAGATTTTGGCTCCCGCTGATTGAATCGCCAACCAGCTTTTCACCACCAAAACAACGGACTTCTCACCACATTCTGCTTCCAAGGGTACCTTTCTTAGAAGCATAAAGCGCTGAGTTCTATAACACGCCATCCTACATCATAAAAGGTTCTTTATAGAGTTGCAACCTTAATCATGGAAAGTTCTTGATAGAACTGCAAAGCATAGAAACTGTTTTTTCGAGCTGCAACCTACACCATAGAAAGTTCGTCATCGAGTTGCGACCTAAATCACAGAAAGTGTTTTTGAACTGCAGCCTCAGTCATAGAAACTGTTTTATGGAATTGCAACCTAAATCATAGAAAGTTCTTCATGGAACTGCGACCTAAACCACACAAAGCATTTTGTAGAACTGCGACCAGAATACTAGAAACTGCTTTATGGAACTGCAATCTAGATCAGAGAAAGTGTTTTATAGAACTGCGACCTAAGCCATGGAAATTGATTTTATAGAATTGCAACCTTTCTCATAGAGTGTCACAGCACTGCAGCCAAGATCATAGAAAATTCTTATAGAGTTGCAATCTAAATCATAGGAACTGTTTTACAGAGCTGCAACCTGAACCACGGAGAACGTGTTACAGAACTGCAACCTTCATCGTAGAAAGGGCTTTATAGAACTGCAACCTAAATCATAGAAAGTGCTTATAGAACCGCAACCTGAGTCATAGAAAGTGTGTTCTGGAGCTGCAACCAAACCAGTAAAATCCTTCATAGAACTGCAACCTAGATCATAAAGCCCTCGATAGAACTGCCTTGTAGAGCTGCAACCTAAACCGTTCAAATTGTGTTATAGCCTACATCATAGAAAGTTCTTCAAAGAATTGCAACCTAAATCATGAAAAGTTTTTCATAGGACTGCAACCAAAAACATAACGTTCTTCAATTAATTGCAACCTAAATGAGAGACGGGGCGCTGAGTTGCTTTCTGGTTGGTTGGTTGGTTGGTCGGTCGGTTGGTTGGTTGGTGTGTGGCCAGCACTTGTCAGTGAGGCCAGGCCCGCGCTTCCCCCCCAGCCGAAGCTTGGGGTTCAAGCCAGCCGCAGCCAAGGCGCAAGCCGTACCATGGAAACCCATGGCCGGCGCAACTCAAACAGGGCAGTATTGGGGGGAACTGGGGCCTGACAAAGACCCGACCTCAAGCCAAGGGAATGGAAGGCTCGCCTGCGACGACAGTCAGGACCACACCTCCTCCCCAACGCAAACTCTCAGAGGCTAAGGCCAGCAGAAAGGCCAGACGGAGAGCCAAGAGCAGCAGGCAGCCAAGGCCGCGGAAACTGTGACAGGGTTGGCTGTGTTTTGAAGGAAGCGGCACAGGCACCGCTTGATCCGACAAGCAGGCGGCCAAGCCACGACCGGCTCCTGGATGGACTTGACTAACCACCGGCTCCAGCGAGGTGTGGACGGCCGGAAGTGGATACAGCGGTTGCAGCCACGACACACGCAAAGCCCACGGCACCGTGAGCAAGGCAGAGGCTCGGGCCGCAAGGTGGACGAGCAGGCCGCGTGAGCCGAGACCAAGGCTGATAGCCCAGGAAGGGGCACAAGACAGGCGGCAGAGACAAGAGGCCGCTGTAGGGGTGAAAGAAGAGAAAGACGCAGAGACAGGTGAGGCACTGTCACATCGGAAGAGGTTTTTTTTAGCGCCGTTGTGGTTGGCAATGCTCCTGACGTCGTAGCGGTTAGCAACGTGCATAATTACGATTATGGGCAACGCTCATGATGTCATACTGGTTGGCAGCGCTCGTCATGGTGGGAACGCTCATGATTTCATAGTGGATGGCAACGCGTATGACCTCAAAGTGGCTCGCTGGATCCACCTCACGGGTGGGGTAGGCTGCTTTGTAGGCGGATGACAATGCAAGTGCAGCCTGAGGCACCGTAATGCAGTTTCCAACAAGGTGATGGGCTTTCCTGACATCTGTCGGCATGTAAATCCAACCACACAATGCAGAATGGAGGCTTCAACGGGACTCAGGAATCTCACACCAAAATTGCCTTGGACAAGCTCAGCAAAAATGCCTTTATTTTCAAGAGCGCCCTCACTCAGGAAATGCTGCGCACTGTAGCTGGCTGTGTGTGTACCCCACACCCCACATTTGGACCTGGTACGCTTTGCAATGACCTCATCTTGAGACATGGCCAGCATTGCTGGGGTCTTAGTGACTGACAGATTGTGGGGGTCACCATACACGCTCAACAAATCAGCAGTCAGTGTGAGGGCCTTCTCATGATCAAATGGCAAGGGTGGGAACGTATGGAATTGCATCATAGACTGCACATGGATGGGCACCAGGGCAGGTGCACCCTGCGAACTGCTGCTGCAACCTGTCGGGACCCAGGCAGAGAGCCATCTCTTGCGATTGCTTGGTGACACATCTCTGATGTCGGTGATGGCCTCCCACAACAGCTCGTAGCCCGCCCATGCCATTGCGCTGTAAATGACACGTCGCTCAGGATGCTGAAGGAACCTGTCAACGTTCTCCGTCGCAATTGCTCGCGGTGCAGCCCGCCTCATCTGCTTAATCGCCTGAAGGAACACTCTACCATGTGGGCTATCGAAACCCCTGGTCCGGCCTCCACGACTCCACGGTCCGCACGGCGCACTAATGGATGCAATGCACTCATGTTCAACGGGCATCAAGCGTAGCCACACAGGATCCTGAACGCTGCCGTGGAAAAGGACGCAAGCTCCTCGATCACACATCTCGTTAGCGGCAAGATCTGGCGCCCACAGGTCGCTGGGCTCGACCATACTGCACACGTGGTTCTTTGCAAACATGGCACACGCGTCAGCAGACTGCTCAATCGCCAGGGTGGCGTGCCAATGCAATTGCTCATTCTGCATGAGGCCCTGCGCTCTGTGCCAACCTGCAAATCCGCCAGCGAACAATTCCAGGTGAACAGGATGCACACCATCTGGCTTGTGCTTGCGAATCACCACCGACGATGACGGCCCACACGCTGAAACGACATGCTTCACATCCAACCCCTCAGGCGGAGGAGCAACCATAGCCTCGCAGATGGCTATCTGGCACGTTCCCATGTCATCTCTGCAAACCTTCATGGGCAAAATGGCATGCGCAACCTGCGTAGCTTGCGTCTGTTGGGAAACACATTGGCTGCATGGCATCTGATGGTGAAAACAGCACGCATTCCGCTGCCCCCGTGGCATAGCCGCAACCCCACAGACCAGCACCGCCTGATCTGACAGCACGCGCAACGTCTGAGCGTTCACCAGAAAGATGTCAATGACATCACCCATGCCCACTGCATTCAGGGATCCGCACCACGAGGCACTTCTGATCTCATCCTCCACCAAATCCAGGCCCTTTGACCTCGCATTGCTCACCATGGCACGCCTCAACTAGCACCCGCGGGCAACGACCATGCCGCAGGTAGGCTTGAGGCTCATGGCTGATGGAAAATGGCCTGGATTGAAATCTCAAAATCCTAAAGTCTTAGATTCTTAAAATCTTCAATTAAAATCTAACAGTCAATCTTAGAATCTCGAGATCTTAAAATCTTCGAACTTAGAATCTTAAAATCTGAAAATATAAAAACATCCTAGTCTCGGGGGATGCTGGGGATGTTGTCCCCTAAGTCGGGCCAACTTTGCCGAAAACGTGCAACCTGAAAATCTTAAAATCTTAAAGTGGATGGAAAATGGATGGAAAATGGCCTGGATTGAAATCTCAAAATCCTAAAGCTTAAAATCTGGACCCGCCCTTATAAGGGGCAAAGGATTCGCGGATTGGTTTAGGCGATTTTTGTAGCATCTCCCCGCAGCGCCCAAAAACGAGTCTTTTTAGGGGGTGCCTAATACTGGACAACGCCCCCAGCATTGCCAGCATCATCCCGGATGATGCGGATGATGTTATGCATGCTGGCGATGCGAAACAAGCGGCTGAAAATTGCAGAAAAAGGAGTGACTGGAAGTGAGCAAAATGCAAGGGCAGAACGCGAAGGGAACCGGAGAACGGTAACGAAAAGAAACTGTGAAATTATGGGAAACGAAGAGAATTGAAGAGATGTGCGGGAAAGTGACGTGACATGGGAAGCGAGGTTGAAGTCGCGCGAACTACAATAAACTAAGGGAAAGGAATGCGAATGAAGGGGCGCTCAAGGAAAAGGAAGTGAAGGGAAATGCCAGAATTTGTCGGACATGCAGGGAAGACATGCAAAGGAAGCAAAGTTCAAATCCCGGAAGCTAACGGGAATTCAAGGAAAAGGAAATAAAAGAACGGGAAGGGCAAGGTGCCCGGTGGCCGGCTGTGTCGCGTCAGCGTGTAAATCCGGCCACCGGGGGCCCCTGACCCCGTTTGCGCTGCGCCAAGCTGGGCCCACCCTTATAAGGGGCGAAGGATTTGCGGATTTGTTCAGGCGATTTTTGGCGGCTTTTTGAGCATCTCCCCGCGGAGTCAAAAAACGAGTGTTTTTTGGGGGGGTGCCCATAGTGGACAACATCCCCGGCATCACCTGCATCATCCGCATCCTTGGCGGACATTGATGCGGATGATGCCGGTGATGCGGGGGATGCTGGGGATGTTGTCCCCTAAGTCGGGCCAACTTTGCCGAAAACGTGCAACCTGAAAATCTTAAAATCTTAAAGTGGATGGAAAATGGATGGAAAATGGCCTGGATTGAAATCTCAAAATCCTAAAGCTTAAAATCTGAAAATATAAAAACATCCTAAAGTCTCGGGGGATGCTGGGGATGTTGTCCCCTAAGTCGGGCCAACTTTGCCGAAAACGTGCAACCTGAAAATCTTAAAATCTTAAAGTGGATGGAAAATGGATGGAAAATGGCCTGGATTGAAATCTCAAAATCCTAAAGTCTTAGATTCTTAAAATCTTAAATTAAAATCTAACAATCAATCTTAGAATCTCGAGATCTTAAAATCTTCGAACTTAGAATCTTAAAATCTGAAAATATAAAAACATCCTAAAGTCTTCGAATCTTGAAATCTTAAAACCCTTATGTCTTAGAATCTTGCGATCTTAAACTCTTAAAATATGAAATTCCTACAGTCTTAAACTCTTACTCTTGAAATTTGGAAATCTTGAAACCTCAAGATCTTAAACTTACAACCTTAGAAGATCGAATCTTACAATCTGAAAATATAGACATCCTAAAGTCTTCGAATCTTGACTTCTTAAAACCCGAATATCTTTGAATCTTCAGATGTTAAAATCTAAAAATATGAACTTCCTAAATTCTCAAAGTCTTAAAATCTCAGAATCTGAAAAGCTTTCAAAACTTAAATTCTTTAAATCTCGAACTATTGCAATCTGAAAATCTTAACTTCATAAACAAGTAAAATATAAAAAAAATCCTTCAATCCGGGCTATATTTTAATTCCTTAAACTCTTAATCTTGAAACTTTGAAGCCTTGAAATCTTGAGATCTTAAAATCTTAAATTCCGAAAGTCGCCAAATCTGAAAATCTCCGAAAAATAAAATCTTAAAGCCTTCGAAATCTGATAATAGATGGAAAATGGCTGGGCAATGGCCTGGCTATTATAACCTTCAAAAACTTTAAATCTTTGAATCTTAAAACCTTAATTCGTAAACCATTGAAACCTTAAATTCCGACAGTCTTCAAATCTGAGACCCTTAGAATCTCAAAGTTTTTAGAATCTGAAAATCTTAACATCTACTAATCGGACTTACAGGAAAGGGAAGTGACAGAACGAGCAGGGCAAGGTGCCCGGTGGCCGGCTGTGTCGCGTCAGCGTGTAAATCCGGCCACCGGACGTGATCGGGCCGCAGGCCAAGCCCGCAGGGCTTACCTTCAGGTATAAGGCCGTGCGCCCCATGCCGCCGACCATGAGCAGAACGTTTTGTGCTGGGCCCACCCTTATAAGGGGCGAAGGATTTGCGGATTCGTTTAAGCGATTTTTGAAGAATTTTGTAGCATCTCCCCGCAGCGTCCAAAAACGAGTATTTTTATGGGGTGCCTAATGCTGGACAACACCCCCAGCATTGCCAGCATCATCCTGGATGATGCGGGTGATGCTATGCATGCTGGCGATGCGAACCAAGGGGCTGAAGGGGAAAGGCAAGGAAACAGGAGTGACTGGAAGTGAACCAAATGAAATTCAAAGGAATTGCACGAAAATGAAGAGGGCACTGGAGGAGAGAAACCGAGATGCAGGACAATGCAAGGGCAGAACGTGAAGGGATCCGGACAGCGGGAACGAAAAGGGAAAGGAATGCGAATAAAGGAGTTTTAAGGAAATGAAGGGAGCTGAATCGGCAGTGAAGTGGAAGGAAGTGCAGGGACATGCCAGGCAACTGTCAGGGAAGACATGCAAAGGAAGTAAAGTTCAAATCATCCCGAGAACTAACAGGACTTAGAGGGAAAGGAAATCAAAGAACGGGAAGGCCACCGTGATCGGGCCGCAGGCCTAGCCCGGAGGGCTTACCTTCAAGTATAAGGCCGTGTGCCCCATGCCGTTGACCATGCGCCTACGTTTTGCGCTGGGCCAGCCCTTACGGGCCCTTATAAGGGGCGAAGGATTTGCGGATTGGTTTAGGCGATTTTTGTAGCATCTCCCCGTGGTGTCCAAAAACGAGCGTTTTTGGGGGGTGCCTAATACTGCACAACACCCCCAGCATTGCCAGCATCATCCCGGATGATGCGGATGATGCTATGCATGCCGGCGATGCGAAACAAGGGGAAATGCAAGGAAACAGGAGTGAGGAAGTGAACGAAATGCAAGTCAAACAACTTGCGCGAAAATGAAGAAGAAGCACTGGAGAGAAACCGAGCTGCAGGAAAATGCAAAGGACAGCGGGAACGAAAAGGGAAAGGAATGTGAATAAAGCAGTCTTCAAATAAATGAAGGGAGCTGAGGAAAACTGTCAGGGAAGACATGCAAAGGAAGTAAAGTTCGAATCATCCCGAGAACTAGCAGAACTTAGAGGGAAAGGAGATGAAAGAACGGGGGGGTTTGCGGTGGCCGCGTGTAAATCCGGCCACCGGACGTGATCGGGCCGCAGGCCAAGCCCGTAGGGCTTACCTTCAGGTATAAGGCCGTGCGCCCCATGCCGCTGACCATGCGCCTACGTTTTGCGCTGGGCCAGCCCTCACGGCCCTGAAAAGGGGCGAAGGTTTAGGCGATTTTTGTAGCATCTCCCCGCGGCGTCCAAAAACGAGCGTTTTGGGGGGGTGCCTAAGACTGGACAGCACCCCCAGCATTGCCAGCATCATCCCGGATGATGCAGATGATGCTATGCATGCTGGCGATGTAAACCAAGGGGCTGAAAACTGCAGACAACGAAGGGGAAATGCAGGCGCTGGAGAGAAACCAAGATGCAGGAAAATGCAAGGGCAGAATGTGAAGGGAGCTGGAGAATTGCACGAAAATGAAGGGGGCACTGAAAAAACCCAGATGCAGGAAAATGCAAGAAATTGTTCGAAATTGTGGGAAACGAAGAGCAACTCATGAGAAATGAAGGGATGTGCAGGAAACTGACGTGAAATGGGACGCGAGGTTGAAGTCAGGGGAACTGCAAAGACCTAAGGGAAAGGAATGCGAATGACGGGGCGTTCAAGGAAATGAAGGAAGTGAAGGGACATGTCAGGAAACTATCGGACAGGCAAAGGAAGCGAAGTTCAAATCCCGGGACCTAACTGGAAGTAAAGGAACAGGAAATGAAAGAACGGGAAGGGCAAGGCGCCCGGTGGCCGGCTGTGTCGCGTAGCGTGTAAATCCGGGCGCCCCGAGCCCGTGGTTTCCCGGAGGCCTTCGGTTCCCTCTAACCGAAGGTTATAAAGCTCGCGCCCCCTGCCGCCGACCCACTCTAGGTACTCCACGTTCACTCCGTGTCGAACGGAGGCTGCATTCACTGCTAAGGGGCGAAGGATTTGTGAATTTGTTCAGGCGATTTTTGACGACTTGTTGAGCATATCACCTGCATCGTCCGCATCCATGGCGGACATTGATGCGGATAAGGCCGGTGATGCGGGGGATGCTGGGGATGTTGTCCCCTGAGTCGGGCCAATTTTGCCGAGAATGTGCAAAAACACAGTGTTTTTGAAGGTTTTTGGCGGGCGCAAACGTGGAAAATATGGAAACCTGCTTAGCAGGCAGGCTTCAACGGTCCCGGCCGAACTCGATTTTTGGTAGGCTTTTCGGTGAACCGCAGAAAAAACACTGTGTTTTCGATAGTTTTGTATGGATTCAAGGCCGGGCGCAAACGTGGAAAATGTGGAAACCTGCTTAGCAGGCAGGGCTCACCTCTCCCCGGCCGAACCCTCTGGCAGCGTTTTTGGCGAACCCGTAGAAAAACCGAGTGTTTTTGCTGGTTTTGTATGGGTTCCAGGCCGCGCGGTTGCGAAAATCATGACAGCACGTGGAACACTGACGCTTTTCGGGGCGTAGCATGTCGCCGCTAGGCAATTAGCCTGCTAGCTTTAGCTATAGGGGGTGCACCCTGGTGCCGCCGACCCTCGCCACTTGGTCGTGATGCGCGGCCTAAATCCGGCACCTCTGCATCACCAGCTCGGACTTGCGGTTTTGCTTGACTGTGGGAAACCCTCACGAAACATCGCGTATATGCAGGGTTTAGGCCATGTGGCTGACATCGTCAGGGTCTGGGGTTGGGCCTGGGTGATGCTTCAGCGGGGCTTGGTCTGCATCATCAAGACTTCCTTCCAAAAAGCCTCTCCACCCAAAAAGCACTGTTTTTAAAAGTAGGTATCGGAGGGGTATAAGCGAGGCTCATTTTTTGCGCATTTTGGCGCCAAGCGCTGCCGGGCATGCCGGCGATGCTGGGTCCTCGCTCTACAAAACGCTGTAAATACCGCCAAAAACTGCTGTGCTGAGCGTTGGCCTGTTGTTCTGTCCGTTTTGCTTTTGCTGTGGCTGGCTCGCGCGCTGCGCGGTCCTTGCTTTTTTCGCGTTGGTTTTCGGGCTTTTTGGCGCGCGCGCGCGCGCGACCCCAGCCACAAAACGCTGCTATTTACAGTGTTTTGTTGCATTTGCGGTTCCGGCCTGGCTTGCGGGCTGCTCTTTTTGGGCTGCTTTTTTTGGGTCCTCTGGCGCGCGCGCGCGCGCGACCCCATGTCAGCCTTCTGGGTTGGGGCCCGGATGGGGCCCAGAAAGCCGGCATCCCCGGCATTATCTGGGGTTAAGGTGGGCAACATGCACAACCTAACCAGCCATATCATAGCACACGCTACGTTTCTCATGCAAAACATGACATGACATGGTATAACTTCAAAAAAGGCGTAGCCGGCTAGAGGCCGCAGGCCCAGAAAAATATATATATATATATATATATATATATTAAAATCCACACTTTTCGACACACACACACACACGTGATTGGGGGGTCCAGCCTGGGAGCCATCACGTGCTGCGTGCAGGAGGCAATCAGGCCGCAAACTATGTTCAACGCCTGGTAGACAGGTCATGGTTCTGCAGGCAACTTCACTCCCCCCTCTCTCGCTGCCATTGCCGGACGGAGTATGCCATTTGAAAAACATCATGGACAGTTGCTCGCAGTCAACAAACAGCCTTATACAGCACTAAGATTTGCCATTTGACTCCCAACCTGCACTCTTGAGAGTCCATAGCAAGTGCACCCCGGACTGCGACTCTGTGGCCATACACTGCCGGCCTCAGCATCTTCGCCTGTAAGGCGTCTTTCTTTTCATGTCACGCTCATTGGCTTGTTCTCATTTATAGTCGCGCGGAACATTTTCGAAGAGAAGCAAGAAGCGCACGGCCGAGCATTGGCCAGTAGTGCCTTTTTCCGCCAAGAAATAACCCAAAATCCATTGACAAAGTTGACTGCTGGTTCCGTGACTCAGGGCACTCAAATACTGAGTGGCGGATGTCTTGTCCTTGCTGCACTGCCCAAAGATAAAGTGCAACTTGACCATCCAAGGCGAAGTCTTCGAAAAAAGCGCGCCAGGCGGCTTTCCGCTTGCAAACACATCGTGCCTGGCTGGCCGCTTCCAGGCATGGATGCCGGCCTAGGCGACGCGAAAGCCTTTTCGGCTCAGCCTGCAAAGGCCAAAGGCGTTCCCTGCCATCCTCAGATCCGCACGAATTCTGGCAAAGACTTGCGAGAAAACTCACATAGACAGAGTGGTCCTTCAGGCGGCAGTCTGATTTGCACTAGGTGAACAAAACAAAACAAAACTACGAGGCAATTGTCTTGAACGTGGCACTCACAAGTGCTGCATAGCATCGCTGCAAAGCAGCTTGAAGAAACTCTGCACACATCACAATCAACAAACAATCTGTCATGCTGCAGAGAAACCTCATTGAAAGGTCACGAAATCGGCACCATCTATAGTAGCTTGGCTCCGCTAGAATCAGACATCTGAGAAAGAGCTGTCTTGCTTTCGCCCCACCCATGAGGTGTTGTGGGTGACAATCTTCGCTCCTGTTGGTCCCCCTCATCAATCTGGCCACCGTTGGCGCAACGTTCGCACCTGTCCCAAGGCGTAGCCAATTGTCTTGGTCTGCATACACGACAGATCGGGGGTCCGTTCACCAAGGCAGGCAAGACCACGATGGACGGGATGACCTTTAGATAATTTGGGCAAGCGCCTGCATCCCGCAAAATGTGCCATATGGGAAGGTCCATCTAAGCTCCGGAAAAGCAAAGTCGTATCCGACGTATCCATCGCAAGCGGCTGAAGCAGCAAGCCATGGCTCAAGGCCCCAACCCTTGCTCCCACATCTGGAAGAGCTTTGTGGTGAACTCTGAACCTGTGGCCTGGCACTCCATGGCACGACACGTTTTGTGAGCGAACAAGGTGATGCGACATCCCAAAAACCAAACACTTGCGGATGGGAGCGGTTCACAAGCAAAGCGTAGCTTTGCAACAAGCCATGCACTGACAACTCGCCTCGTTGAGCAGCGGCTGAACAAAGCCATGCCTCAAAGAAGAGGGAATCACTGCAATACATGCTCCAAGGGCACTTGGTGGGCCCCGTCTACCAAGTCTACCAGCCGTGAGCAGCCCCGCATGTCCACCAGCCGATTTCTGGGTCCGAGCGCGTGCCAACCTTCTCTTTGGCCTTCCGCGAGCTCTGAGACTTCCACGACAAAAGATGACAAACGACAAACGCCCTCTGCAAACTCGTCTAACGCTTCGAAAGGCATCGCGGCATCACCAATGTGCGCACAGGGCCTCTGCGTCGAAGCCCCAATCCTGACAATGCAGAGACTTTGGACATGAAACCAAACTCTTGCGTGCAAAAAGAAGTACAATGGAGCCTAAGCCCCAGGTTGACCGGAAAGTCCAATTTATGACTTGGGACGAAAGATTTGGAGAAGTTGCCCCAAGTCCCAAGTCCAAGTGCCAGCCACAGACTCAAAAACGCCCCCGTGACTCTGAGTCCCGTGCCTGGCACTGCGAGGCCGCCTGCAGCTTCCGGCGAACAGCGAAATGAGTCTTCGCGTTTCGTTTCTTGAGCCATTGAGAGGACCGGCTAATTTCTTTGGATGTTCGTAGATTTTGTGAACTACATTGTCTTGGTGTGTGATTTGGGAGTACCCCGCGCTGCAACAAGTGCAAAGTGGCCGTTCACGTAGCAGAGACGCTTCCTGTTGACAACAGCTTCGACATCTGCGGCGATTGTCCAGTTCAAATATGGGATTGCTTTCCAGCTTCATGTCAGGACAACACAAGAGCATGCCTCATGGTGTTTGAGCCTTCTTCAAGTGCGAATGAAGAGCAAACTAAGAGTAGGTTAACTAATTTAGGGTAAGTGGGTAAGTGTTGTGTTGGTCAAGGGTATGTGCTGATGGGGGCAACATGTTGAGTGATTGATGTGGAGTCGCTTTTGGCTAGGCTGAGGACTTGGTGTCAAAAGCGGGTTGAGGGTGAGGCTCAGGATGGGGCACCGTTTGGATGGGCCAGCTTGACGTTGACTTTGTTCAGGGTGGAGTTGTGAATTTCGGGTGTTGGTTGGCTTCAGGTTGCCTTGGAGTTCAGTTCAGGATTGGGTGAGTGTGGAGAGTTTAGGGTGTGGTTGGATTCCATTCAGGAGTACAGGGTCAACTCAATCTCAGATTGATTGAATTGAGGCAGGATTGGGTGGGCTATTTCAGGCTTGACTATGGGCTATTTCATTCAGTTTACAGGCATGGCTGAAGCGTGGATTCAGTGACATTGCAGTGGAAAATAATAACAAGGTTGGTGCTGATTGACCTGGAGCACAAGAGGCGAAGCAGGCAGTACAAGCAACAGGTGCCACGAGAGTGGGTAAACCTTGAATTCCCTCCCTCCTGGTGCCCTGATCATGGCCAGGTTTGCTAGAGATTGCGATCAATTCAAGGACGGCTGAGCCATGAGACATGCAGGCAAACCATTTTGGGTCGAGGCGAGTCGTGGCAAGTGGCCGTCCCGCCTGCAGCGCGTTGCTCACGACGCTATGCCTGCAAAAGCGCTTGGCATTGCGACAAACTCTCTGCATCAAGTTGCGTTGCCCGTTCAAACGAATGGCACTGCTAGGCACTGCTTGGCACTGCTTTTCCTGAGGCTTTTCTGCGGCACTAATGAATTTGCCGCTCTGTAAAGCCCTCGGGCTTAGTGGCTTAGTGGCACCTGCCCTAAGGCCAATTTCTCAGGTCAGCACATGACGCCATCCAAATTGCTGGCTCTGGACACGTGCTGGTGCCAAGCCTGGGACAAGTGCAACGTCAACGCTTTCTTGGAAACTGATCTTCCATCCCTACAAGTTGTCGATCACTGTGCGCCTCACAACAAACCTGATCCACAACAGTTGAAAAAAATCTCGGCCAGCCTGCCACACATTTGCATCTTCTTCAGATCCTGCGACAAGGGTGCAGTTTGCGCACACGGCAGTTGGAGGCAAAGAACAAATCACACTTTCGAAGTAGCCACATTGCTGTTGTCGGGAGGTAGCCCACCTTTCTATGCACAAGCTATGAAAAACCTCTTATTTTAAAAGGCAGGGGCGAGCACACTGCCCCCTCGTTTTCTGATACCCGCGCTTTTTGGGTAAGACGCTTGTTGTTGCACGTGCTTTTGCCTCAATCAGAAGACAATGGGTCGATGTTCGCGGGGCAGTAAAGGGTGCCAAGCTCATAGCCAAGACAAGATCCGCTCACCATTCCCGTCCTCGGATGCCCAAAGAACCTGAGGGCAGTTTGCCCTTTGCAAGCGCCAAATTCCCAACACCAACCCCTTCCGAACGAATTTGCGGCTCGTTCGTTTCCACATCGCCGAGCGAGCGTCGCCGCGCCCAGTTCGAGGCCAAGCCTCCGATTTGGCGAGCCCCTGCTGTCAACCTCAATGGGAAAGCCCGAGGAGGAGGGCGAAAAATTGTCTCGCAGATTTCTCCCAATCAAAACTCGCCCCGGTGGAACTCGGTTAAGACATCCGCATGTGCAATTGTCCTTCATGAAACTTGCCAAGAGCCAAGGGTCTGTAACCTTCCAGCGCGTTGCATCACACCAAAAATGAGCGGAAAGGACATGAAAGGACTCGGACGCCGTTCAAATCCACTGGAGAAGAAACTGGCCATGTCCAAGGTTCCATTGTAGCCCCTTTGTCACTTGGGCCCCTGTCACGGTGTCATGACTCACAGATTGCTATGCTGAAGTTTCAAGAGTTTTTGTCTGACGTGCTGTAGTAAAACACAAAAGAAGCGTACAAAGCAATATGTGTATTGCTACAAAAAAAATCATCAATATGCTGAAACAAATAATATTAAATGAACTTGCGGTATAGTTGATACCGTATATGTTCAAAAACCCAAAAAACACTTTGTTAACGGGAAACAAACATGATAATGAGCTATCATGGTTGTAGGTTAATATGAAGCATGATAAATCAAGTATAACACTCAGAAATAACTTGCATGGCTTGCAAAAACCCAAGAAGAAGCCGAAAAGCCAAAACGCCAAAACGCCAAAAGCGAAGCAAATTCAAAAAAGAATGAAAGAATGCCCTCCTTTACAACATAATCCGAAAAGTGACGGAAGCCAAAGTGACCAGGCTTCCAATGAAACTATCTTTGCAATAGCTCACCTTGCAAACCGAGTGAACCCATGGAAGAGTCCTACGGACCGAGGTAAGGTGAGGCGCATGGCAAGTGCTCTGTCAAGGTCTATCCTGCAAGCAGGAAGCTGACGTGGCATCTCCAAAAAGGAAGAAAACCATAGCTCAAGGCCAATATAGGCGTGAGAAGCTTGAATCTGTTGGAATGAAACCAACATTTCATTGAGGATGCCAAGGACTGGCCAGCGCCAAGACCTGCCTGCTGAGCAGTTTCGCACCAAAGGTCGTCTTTTTCACAAGTCTCAGCCGCTTGTCACCGGGTCCAGGGGCGCGGCCAGACAATGGCCGCGAAGTTGTGTCGCAGGAGCGCCTCAGTTTTCTCCAAAATGGCCTGTGATTCACTATCAATGGTCGCAAACTGCTTGTGCTTTTGGTATAACGTGCATCGCGCCTCGATGCAAGGGGATTGGGGGTTCCAAAGCCCATGACTGCCCCACTTCTTTTTGGAGCTGCAAGGCGAGTTTCTCCGTTTCACCCAGGAAACCTTCAGCATCCGGCAACGCGCATGTCTGGCTGCTGATACAGAGGGTGGATCAGAAGAACCTGGCCGCTGTCGCTCTCCATTTTATGTCGCATTGTTTGTGTTATATTTCTTATTCTATGTACTGAGAGGGCTCCTGTTTCCGGCTTCACATTACAGGCCGGCCACGCAGAAAGGGGGAAGAGGCAGCTGCAAAAGGATCGCGGCAGGATACGGCACCTCATGCATACAAGTCTTACAAGTCTTACAAGTCTTACAAGTCGTCGTGAGACGTGGCGAGAGTCCATTGGCACCTTACACCAAACAGCGCTGAGATCAGAGCCAGTCGCGCAAATACTCGATGCCGGACTTGCCTGATTCCGAGCGCAAGCGAAGAGACACATGCGTATCTGCCTCCTTGCTTTTTGGTTGACATCGGAAGCAGCTATATTAGCAGCTGTATGCAAGAATCCTCGCACAGCTCAGACACTTACATCATGAAAGGGCTGCAAGTCAGGTTGACCAAGCGTGGCAGGCACACGGAGGCAAGGATCCCGGCTAAGCATTGATGAGACCAGCTCCTGACGTGAGATCTCACATAGACATTGGAGCGCGACGGAACGCGCTAAAGCATCAGAAGAAGGCATTTGACGTCTAGGATGTTTGAAATTCCGAGACACCCTGCCTGCATGTCCGGGTTGAGCCCGGAAAGCTTCTCCTGGGCCATGCACTTCACATGCCGTCCAACTAGAGGCTTGTTCGACACAACGTTGACAAAGAGACAACCACATACACCGACCATCAGACCATCGGCCAGCAGGGGCCCCAGGCACGGATGTCGCCACCCAGGCGATATGCTCGAAGCTGAGGCCTGCAGTGGATGTCCTTTACCCATGGAGGTTGAAGCCCAAAACTGCGCCCATGAATCCATGGAACCCGTCAAAGCATGCACTATCTATTTCGGGTCGAATGATGCTGCTTTGAGCTCACGAAGTGAAATCGACTCCTGGGCCGCTTTGGCCCAGGGTGCAAGCGAGGGAGCCCTCACTGCGATTCAGTTTGCTCGCTTGGCGTCTCCCTCAGGGACGAGTGTACACGAAGGGCAAGTAGCCGTCCTTGCGAGCCGTTATCCATTGCAAAGCTGAGCTGAACGGCCTTCACCAAAACAAAAGCACTGCTCAGGTTAAACCCTTGACGAATGGAAGAGTCGCTTTGGATCCCGCTCTCTCCTCCCTCCAATTCATCTCCAGCGGAACTTCCCCACGCCTGACTGCAACTCAGGCCCGAGTCTGAGAACGCTGTGGTTTGGGCCTATGTATTCTCTATGTTACATACGTATATTGATATATGATATGCGTATAATATATATATATATATGCTACCCCCCCCCCCCAGGGACCTACCTTTTGGTTGCCTCTCCAGTGCATGATTTGCCCATCTAGGACTGGGAGGAACGATCTCTCAACTAGGACCACGACCAAATGAGACTAGAACCCAGGATCTCTCAACTGGGACTAGGACCAAACTAGGACTAGACGACCCACCTCAGATTCTTACAAAAAAATAAGTTTCAAGTATAACTTCCTCTGTAATGTCCTGTATACTTTCTAATTATTGCAGTAAACTAGGGAGCAACCTAGCACTACAACCAAGGATCTCTCATCTAGGACCAAACTAGGACTAGACCATTCAACTCTACTTCTTATAGTATTTGGATGTCAAGCATTACATTCTGGTGGAAAGAAAGTCATGTTCAATATGTGGCTTGAAACAGAATAACCATAAATTATGACTGGATATGTTCTTTACTTTATTCTACTGTTCAGTTAGCAGTTGCATAGAAATTGAGTAGTATATTAACTACAATTCATAAGGAACTTCCTTTGCATTGTCCCTTGTACGTTCTATTTATTTCAGTACGCTAGGACCATACTAGGCCTAGAACCAAGGATCTCCCAACTAGGACTAGGACCAAACTAGGACTAGACCATCTAAGAATTTAACTCTAGTTCTGAAAGTGATTGAATTTCAAGTACAATGTTCTATTGGACAGGAAATCGGTTGTACCATGTAATTTGACATAGAACAATCAGTACTTAAGTTCGAATCTAAATCGAAATTCTGGCTGGAGTATGTCCTTCTTAAGCTCCATTGAATTTCAAACAGAAATTGGATCGAATGTGATAAAACATATTAAGTGGAATTCATAAGGAAAGAATCCAAAGGTCCAACACTTGTCCTTTCACTAGTCCTAACACTACCATGGTCAGAAAACACCGTAAAACACAGTGTTGTGTTGTGTTTTTCATACTCAATTCACATCTGCACCAACGAACACTCGCTAAATGCTCGTTGAATTTGAACACGATTTACTTGGGACTCAATAATGACATATTTGGACAGAATCCTAATGGTAATCAAATCTGAAATTTCGAGTTTAAATAGAGTTCCTTTCCCAATATGTACCTACAATTCAATTAGAGCTTTCACAGGATTCGATAAGGAAAGAACCCAAGCCTGTATTCAACATTCAAGAATCAATATTATCTAGACAAGTCTTCTTTGCAATCGCGAGTCCAGGCCCGAGTGAAACCCATTGAAACCAACTGAAATTTTAGTTGAGCCTAGGTTCAAGATTCCCTAGAAAACTTTGGCGTACAATCTTGAATGTAGGCCAATGTTGAAAAAGATTGAATGAAAAAACAGGGCTTGGATGCTTGCACAACACTGTGCCAAAGTACAGCCGCGCAAAGTGCAATGTTGAATTTGGGTCTCGATTTAAACCGATTTAAACCGATTTAAGTTTAAATCAGGCATGGATTCAAGATTCAAGCTTCAAGAATCCAGGCCAAACTTTTCCAGGGAATCTTGAATCCAGGCCTCGATTTAAACCCTTTTAAACCGATTCAACTTAAATCGGGCATGGATTCAAGATTCAAGATTCAAGAATCCAGGCCAACATTTTTTCAGGGAGTCTTGAATCTTGAATCTTGAATCCATGCCCGATTTAAGTTAAATCGGTTTAAATCGGTTTAAATCGAGGACTGGATTCAAGACTCCCTGCAAAAGTTTGGCCTGGGTTCTTGAATCTTGAATCTTGAATCCATGCCCGATTTAAGTTAAATCGGGTTAAATCGGTTTAAATCAAGCCTGAAGCTTCCAGAACGTCCTTGGAAATGCTTCTTTTTCATTGCTCTCCCCAAAGCCCAAAAAAGGGTAGAACACACTGCAAATACCAGTGAATTCTTCAAAAAGGTAGGTCCCTGGGGGGGGTACCATATATATATATATATATTATCTTGTTAGACTGTGGTATCCTCTGTGTACTACAGTTCTGTCTGCTCTTTGTTGTCTGAATTTCAATCACGCAGCAGTGGGGGGGGAGAAAAACAGACAGAGCCGGGAGCTGCACATCGACACTCCAGGCTCCATCCCAGGCCGAGACCCAAGACACCCTGCCTCAACGCCATGCCGGTGGCCTGAGATCCACGAGCCGAACCCGGGAGGCACTAAGAAAGCCTATCAGCCTCCAAACTGGCAAGCGTCACCAGGCGAGCACCTCCGCTAGTACCCGAAACATGACATGTGTTTGCCGGCAGGGCTGCACTTGTACACCATTCCTGTACCATTGTGTTTTTTTGGGGGAGAGGGGCTCTTCGAGCGGTCGTTGATAGGGCAAGAAGCCATCCTGAGCATCCTGACCATCCTGAGCCTCAATCTAGGCCCGAGCCTTGACCAGCTCTACTGACAAAGGCCTGACATCAGATCCATGACAACAAGTCCAGTCATAGCAAACCGCCAAAAGATGCAACCATCGAACCGTGAGGATCAGCATCTCAAATTCTCAAACAAGTTTCTGCCACAGTCCAACTCTTTGAAATCAACTAGCCAGGCAGCGTCTAGCGCACCTTTCTCGGCAATTTGGACTTCTCTCGAAGGGCTCGTTGCCTCTCGAGTCCGGTAATCGGGTTGAGCTCCAGACCCGAAACGCCTCTTGACGGACCGGAGTGCAGAAATACGGCGGACGGGGCCATAGGCCGCTCAAAGGGACCGTAACTGGATAGCTGGGCCCCCAGTTTGACATTGCAGGCGAGATGGAACTGGAACACACCTGAACCTGCCAAAAGCACAGGTTGCGCGGCTGAACTCGCGCTCGGAAAAAAACGCCTTTTTTGGCGAGTGAGCAACTCGCACTATCAACAAAACAGTCTCGGTTTTGCCTGCACCCATCCCAAGCAAACATGCAACTTACTTTGACCTCGAACTGTGCGAGCGGCGCAACACTACACGTCTCACTTAACGCCAGCCCTGAAAATCGGGCCACTACTTGCACTTCACGTGGATCTGCATTGCATTTGATGTTCTGATGAGAGCCATGGCAATATCTAGTCTGCTAATATGCTGATCCACGAGACGCACCCTGGCTTGGCATGGAACTAGCAATGCCGCAGGCAGTCTATTTGGCCAGAACCCCAGGTCGAAATGCCTGCCTGTCAGTACAGCAAGTGCGGCCACCTGATGTCTTTGCCTTTTGACTCAGCTGGCCTGGCAAAATAGACTTAAACCAGCTGCAACGCTTCGATGCCAGGCATTTTAGCAGGTGACCTAGATTGATTTTGACTCTACATCACATTCCTGCGATCAGCTGCCTCCTCCGATCAGCAACCTACAATTTAATCTATCCAGGCGAGCCTCATGTTCAAGACTTCTCATGTACACAACCGGCCATGTAAGCCAGTTCTATTCAAGGACTCGGCCGTTGCCCTTGCAGATCTTGTCGGATGCAACATGTGGGCAAACTTGAATTACTGATTGTCAAGTTCTTCAAAGTGTGGACGAAAGGGCGTTCTACAGGTTGGTATACCAGGTCACTCGAGAGGTTTTCAGGTGTTGCGATTGCAGTTCATAGTGATGCAAAGAGCTGAATCAGAATAGCAACTGAAAGCCCAGCTCTGCTCTTCCCAAGCTGCATGCCAAGTAGTATTACCTGAGAAGCTCGTGCCGAATTGCGTATCAATCCCTCGCACCGCATCAACATGTTGATGTATAACACCACCTTGCAACATGTTGGTTCCAACATCACCCTGCAACAACCTGGCCCCACGTCACGCTACCATCCAACAGAACCCTGTGACAGCACCGGTCGTGCTGCGCGCTCACCAGCGGCACCCTCCAACTCATGTGAGCTGCAAAGCACTGAGCACGCTGCAACACCCAACCTTCGTGTCAGACACAACCCTTCTTTACTTGAAGTTAGACCGTTAGACCGTTAGACCCCTGGAGCTTTCAGCTATCAGGCAAAGAATCGCACATCACCAGGTCTGGATCATAGCCAATGGCTTTTGACATCATGCTGGATGGCAATATCATGGCACAGGGGCATGTTACATCAGCTTGTCGTCAATTAGCATGGAGTTCGGGGTCGGGGTCGGGTTCGCGAAGAGTACTCTTGGGCACATCATCTGCATGCTGAAAGTTCCTTTTCATGTCAATGTTGTCCCAGCAGCTATCTGTGGTCCAGTCTGGGTGAAAGTGGAAGGTAGAAGGATGGGCCCCTGCAATATCCTGCCCAAAACAACAAGCGTTGCTCACATGCGAGCGGTTACATCGTTGCATCCGTCCAAGTATCAGACTGGATCAGCCTTTCACACTCTGTCGCCCCATCACGGCTTTCTACCGCGGCTTTGCCCACTTGATGCCATTGCACGCTTTGGCTCTCGATTTACAAGGATGCTTGGGTGAGTGGCAGATACCCACAGACAATAGGATGAATGCAAACTGTTCAGATCCGAGCTTCTCACAGCGCCACAACACATCAGCCAGACACATCCCTATGATCATGTCACTCTGGACCAATGGGCAAAACAAGGC